ACAGGCCCTGTTCCCTCACTCTTATTAGAATGGAGGAAATCAGACTGAGAGGAGTAAACGCGTACAGCAGCACTCTTGGCCACTGGTGAGCCAATGTGTCAACTCACAGACTCACAGAGGCGCGTCCGCGTCTGTCAGGGAGAAGAAGAGTGGGCAGTGGGCGCTTTCCCACGAGGTGAAGAGATCTACGGTAACCTGACCGAATCTCAGCCATATTTGGTGCACCACCTTGGGGTGGAGTTTCCATTCTCTGTACAGAGGATTTCCTCTGGACAGAAGGTCTGCCCCTCTGTTCAAGCTGCCCGCCACATGTGTTGCGCGGACTGAGAGGAGTCTGGAGCTGCACTACACAATTATTTCCTTGGCCAGTGAGTGCAGCTGTAGGGTGCGTGTCCCGCCCTGACGGTTGATATAAGCTACCACTGTGGTGTTGTCTGTCTTCACTAAGACATGACGGTCCCTTAAGTAGGGCAGGAAGTGCTTTAAGGCCAGAAACACTGCTAGGAGTTCCAGCACATTTATGTGAACCTGTTTCAAACTGCGTGACCAAATGCTGTTCACTGCTCTCCCCATCAAGGTGGCCCCCCAACCTGTAAGAGACGCGTCCGTCGTCATGGTAACTCTGGACACCACCGCCCCCAGCGGAACCCCAGTTGTGAGAACTGTTCAGTCTCTCCAAGGCTGGAGAGCTGACATGCACGCCGGAGTTATCTTCACTCTGCGGTGGAGATGACGGTGGGAGCATAGTCTTAACAACCTCACCCACCACTGAACATCTCTCATCATAAGAAGCCCCAGTCGCACCACAGAAATCATTGACGCCATGAGGCCGAGAAGGCGCAGGCAAAGTCTGTACGACGCACGGTATCCTAACTAAAAACGTGCGACACACTGTGTGAAGGACGCAATCCTCTTCTGACAGCGAAACGCGATAAGAGAGAGAGTTTATCTTAAGACCCAGATATTCTGTGCATTGTCTGGGGAATAAACTGCTCTTTGTCCAGTTTATTTTCAATCCCAGGTCGGTCAGATGGCTCAACACCACCAGCTGGCTGCTTGCTCCCGGGAGGGAGCGCAAATCAGATAATCGTCTATGTGAGAGAAAATTCTGATCTCGCGAGTCCTCAGTGAGGACAGCGCTGCCTCCACACACTTGGTGAAAACCCTCGATGCTAATGACAGCCCGAACGGGATGGTTTGAAACTCGTAGGCTGTGCCCCGATAGGCAAACCTGAGAAATTTCCTGTGTAGAGGATAAATAGAGATGTGAAAATAGGCATCCGCAAGGTCAATTGTGACAAACAAATCTCCTGGGCAGATGGAATGGCAGAGTGTTTTGTGAGTCAACATTCTGAAAGTGTACTTGCGTAAGTGTTTGTTTAACACATGCAGGTCGAGTATGGGACGGAGAGATTTCCCGTCCTTCTTTGGAACAAGGAAGTAGAGCGAATAAAAACCCTGGTGGGCCTCGTCGCTCGGCACCATCCTGATCGCTTTTTTTGTTCAACAGTGAAGCGATTTCGTTTTCCAGGATATGCGCCGAATCCTCTCTTGCCACTGACGTTATTATCCCATTGAAACGGGGAGGTTTTGAGGCAAACTGAAGCCTGTAACCCCAACAAACTGTCATCAGAACCCACGAGGGAACTGCGCATGCGCGCCACCTCTTGGCCCGCGCCGAAAGCAAGCCGCTGTTGGGTGACGTCATCTCCGTCACCTGAGCAGCCTTGACTCGACCTGTGGGAAGAGTGAGAGGGCCCTCTGCTGGGGAGCTGTCTGCCCTTGACTGAACGCCTGGCTGCAGAAAAGCCGTCTTTATTTTTAAATGACCCCCCTGAACATTTCTGCACACATCTGGGAACAAAGTGCTTGGTGACACTAACTGCATGCTCATGAAAAGTGTTTGGTGACACTGCGTTTTCTGCTCCACACACTCGCCACTCCTGCTGGACCGGGAACCACAGGAGTGTCTGAACCCTGAACACAGAGGTCTGTTTGTACCTCTGAAAACCTCCTCTTCTTCTGGAGAGGAGAAGCAAGAGCAGCTAGGATGACTTCTTCCTCTTGCCCTCGCTGGGGTGAGACGGGCGGTTCCTCGCGGCTGCTGCTGCGAAAGAGTGCTTCCCCCATGGGCGAGGGTTCTCCGCCTTGTTTGGCTGACCACCTGCCGATCGCTGTGGTCTAGCCCCACCCTGTTGACCCTTTGCCGCTGGGGCAGCTGCTGCAAACCCAGGCTTGGGTGCCTGAGGTGGCTGAGGGTTATGTTTACGAGGCAAGCAGAGATTGAGGGCCTCACCTTCCTGCGGGTGCTTGTCTCAGTCATCTTCTCCAGGGCGGGCCAAAGAGACCTTTGACAGGGTCATATGCTGCATCCATGACATCAGCTTTCTGGCTGTCACCTAGGCCTGACAAGTTTAGCCACAAGGCTCTCTCACCTGAAACAGCCAAACCCATCACACGCCCACAGCCCTGGACTGCTCCTCTAGTAGAGTGCAGGATGAGATCATTCACCACACAGATTTCATCCCATAAAGCCGGGATAGGCGCCCAAGAGTCCAGCTGACGACCCATTTCCTCCAGGATTTCTCCTTGATAAGCTGACAAGAGAGTAACTGCATTGAGGGAACACACAGATTGGCCAGCATATGTGTGCATCCTCTGAAAAATGGATGCCGTGAGACGATCCGTTTTAGATGGGAGAGAGATGCTGGATGACGCTGACACGGATCTGCGGTTGGGGTGAAGGTGGTATGCCACTGAAGGCTCCACAGTTGGGGGTTCGGCCAGCCCCAATTCCCCCATCCCATGCACCTCCAGTTTGGAGTATCCCTTGGTGGGGAGTTTGCTTTTAAATGAGCTAGACCAGTAACACTTGGGTGGAGCGGAGGACAGTGGAAGCCTCATACAGGTCTCGTCCCACCCCTTCTGCCCCTTGGGCTGCCGGCCGCTGAATGTTGAGCTTTGCAGCTGCTCGCCTGCAAACCTCGTACATGTCGGTGTCCCCCTGTGATGCCACCCCAGTGCCGCTAGGTGGCCTAGAGTGTTGAGCCGGGAAGGTGGAATCCTCTTCCTCCTCGTCCATGTCCAAATAGAGGAGGTCATCACCCGCATCGAGCAGCCCACTGTCAACCAGTCCCTCGAACAGAAGTGGTAGCGGGGGCTCCTCCTCCATCATATCTGCCCAACTTGTGGAGGCTCGCGGCTGATGGTTGTCACCTGCATCACAGGTGTGGCCAAGCCGAGGCCTGGGTTCTGGCTGTTAGCCACTGCCACTCTAAGCCTCCTTTTTCTCTGGCATGGAGGAGCAGTGAGGGCATGTCTGCGGGTTAGCCAGCGATGCCTGGGCGTGAGCAGCACCCATGCACACTATGACAATAGGATGAGGGTCCCTGCCTGAAATAGAAGCCCCACATGATGCCGGGCACAGGCGGGATGCAGCCTCTTTAGCCTTTGGTTCCGACCCTTCCGTCTGGGTAGGGGTGGAAGCCATAGCTGAAAAACCGACTGGTCGTGACAGATTAGCCTGAAAAAGCGTTAGCAAGCTAGTTAGCAGGTGTAAGTCTGCAACTATAGCTATATTTTATATGTAGGACAACTCGTCGTGACACGTTAGCTTCAACAAAATAGCTCATTAGCGAGTAAATGCTAAATAAGAACAGGACAAGCTCGCAACAACGCGTTAGCTTGAGCCACACTCGCTAATACTACTCCGTCAATGACAACCGAGTAGCCGCGGGAGCAGTTCGCCGTGACGCGGTAATGGTTCCTAGCAAAGTGTGCCAAGTGATTTAGAAACACTTACTCAGCTCTAATCCAGACTGCATTGGGACTGCGTTCGGCGACGGATCCTGATGGTACGCCTGGGAACAGTTAAGCAGCTGACCAAAGACAGCCTGAAAATCGCTGAGGGAGCAAAGTGTAGTTTCTCACGGGAAGAAAGCGAGAAAGCGAGAATGAGTAGGAGGGGTTGGTTGGCCGTGTATATACTGGGTGGGCGGAGCCTGGGCACGGCGCTACCAGTCTGTCAGGGACAGACGTGATGTCAATGGAGCTTCCGTAGTTGGTCACGCCAGGGCGATTCCCCGTAGTGAAACACCGAACAAAGATAGAAAAAGAACCCCGAAATAACAAACAAGATTGAAAAAAATTATAAAGGATAAAAGGGATAATAAATTAAAAGAATTAAAAGATTAAAAAAATAACGAGTAAAAACAAGGTCATGACTAAAAATATTTAAAAAAAACATACTAAAAGGTAAGCACATGTCAACAGGGAAGACACCACAGACTAAAACGCTAACAGCCTGATCATTGATCAAAGTTAATGATAAAAATAGGCCTTCGGCACTGACTTGAACCGACACAGTGACGGGGCCTGTCGAACACTGAGGTGAAGAGCATTCCAAAGTTTGAGGGCAGCAAACACGTAGGCCCGCTCCCCACTGGATTTATATTTCATCTCTGGGTGCAAAAGAGCAGGTGATCTGCCGATCTTAGGCTTCTGGATGGTACATATGGCTTGAGCAGTTCTGACAGGGAAGCGGGAGCTGGACCATTTAGGGCATTGTAAACAATAGTTAAGACCTTAAACTGGATGCGGCATTCACAGTGGATGAATCAAAATATTGATTCAAAACATGTAAAAGCTCAGACGGTATACAATTATGAATGTTAAAATCACAGCTGAGGTCATGTCTGGTGTTACCATAGTGCACTAAAAACATCTACAAGAAGAACTGGACGGAAGGGCCCCACTTGGGTCAGACTAGAGACATACAAGTGTGTAAAGGAGAGACTCCAGATAGAAATGTGTTTGGAAGATGGAAGGACCCCATAAGAACATGACTGGAAACATGACGGTGTGTGTGACATTACCTGGCCTTCCCCACCCAATAGGTTCACCTGACTACCATACAGCCACATGAGCATTGGTCCATTTTAGTAGTAGAACAACCCCACATACATGTCAGCACAGAAGAAGGTGTTTGAATGTACTCTTACCTGTGTGTAGGTCTCATCTGGGATTGGTCCATCATTAAGCATCTGAGGAACAGGGCTGGCCTCATTCTCTTCTGCTGCAGCAGGAGTCTGAAGGCCTTTCATCTGAAATATAGATAACAGACAAAAGACTCAGAACTATATGAAGAGACTTTCAAAGGCAAAAAAGATCATCTAAGTGTGAAACAGCAGCACAGAACGACAACTGAGAACATGGCTTGGCCTTCTGGACTACTGGTAATGAGCAGCTCTCATGACGATTCCAGGAGTTCACAGTGGTTGAATCAAAATATTGATTCAAAACATGTAAAAGCTCAGACGGTATACAATTATGAATGTTAAAATCACAGCTGAGGTCATGTCTGGTGTTACCATAGTGCACTAAAAACATCTACAAGAAGAACTGGACGGAAGGGCCCCACTTGGGTCAGACTAGAGACATACAAGTGTGTAAAGGAGAGACTCCAGATAGAAATGTGTTTGGAAGATGGAAGGACCCCATAAGAACATGACTGGAAACATGACGGTGTGTGTGACATTACCTGGCCTTCCCCACCCAATAGGTTCACCTGACTACCATACAGCCACATGAGCATTGATCCATTTTAGTAGTAGAACAACCCCACATACATGTCAGCACAGAAGAAGGTGTTTGAATGTACTCTTACCTGTGTGTAGGTCTCATCTGGGATTGGTCCATCATTAAGCATCTGAGGAACAGGGCTGGCCTCATTGTCTTCTGCTGCAGCAGGAGTCTGAAGGTCTTTCATCTGAAATATAGATAACAGAACTATATGAAGAGACTTTCAAAGGCAAAAAAGATCATCTAAGTGTGAAACAGCAGCACAGAACGACAACTGAGAACATGGCTGGGCCTTCTGGACTACTGGTAATGAGCAGCTCTCATGACGATTCCAGGAGTTCACAGTGGATGAATCAAAATATTGATTTAAAACATGTAAAAGCTCAGACGGTATACAATAATGAATGTTAAAATCACAGCTGAGGTCATGTCTGGTGTTACCATAGTGCACTAAAAACATCTACAAGAAGAACTGGACGGAAGGGCCCCACTTGGGTCAGACTAGAGACATACAAGTGTGTAAAGGAGAGACTCCAGATAGAAATGTGTTTGGAAGATGGAAGGACCCCATAAGAACATGACTGGAAACATGACGGTGTGTGTGGCATTACCTGGCCTTCCCCACCCAATAGGTTCACCTGACTACCATACAGCCACATGAGCATTGGTCCATTTTAGTAGTAGAACAACCCCACATACATGTCAGCACAGAAGAAGGTGTTTGAATGTACTCTTACCTGTGTGTAGGTCTCATCTGGGATTGGTCCATCATTAAGCATCTGAGGAACAGGGCTGGCCTCATTGTCTTCTGCTGCAGCAGGAGTCTGAAGGCCTTTCATCTGAAATATAGATAACAGACAAGACTCAGAACTATATGAAGAGACTTCCAAAGGCAAAAAAGATCATCTAAGTGTGAAACAGCAGCACAGAACGACAACTGAGAACATGGCTTGGCCTTCTGGACTACTGGTAATGAGCAGCTCTCATGACGATTCCAGGAGTTCACAGTGGTTGAATCAAAATATTGATTCAAAACATGTAAAAGCTCAGACGGTATACAATTATGAATGTTAAAATCACAGCTGAGGTCATGTCTGGTGTTACCATAGTGCACTAAAAACATCTACAAGAAGAACTGGACGGAAGGGCCCCACTTGGGTCAGACTAGAGACATACAAGTGTGTAAAGGAGAGACTCCAGATAGAAATGTGTTTGGAAGATGGAAGGACCCCATAAGAACATGACTGGAAACATGACGGTGTGTGTGACATTACCTGGCCTTCCCCACCCAATAGGTTCACCTGACTACCATACAGCCACATGAGCATTGATCCATTTTAGTAGTAGAACAACCCCACATACATGTCAGCACAGAAGAAGGTGTTTGAATGTACTCTTACCTGTGTGTAGGTCTCATCTGGGATTGGTCCATCATTAAGCATCTGAGGAACAGGGCTGGCCTCATTCTCTTCTGCTGCAGCAGGAGTCTGAAGGCCTTTCATCTGAAATATAGATAACAGACAAAAGACTCAGAACTATATGAAGAGACTTTCAAAGGCAAAAAAGATCATCTAACTGTGAAACAGCAGCACAGAACGACAACTGAGAACATGGCTTGGCCTTCTGGACTACTGGTAATGAGCAGCTCTCATGACGATTCCAGGAGTTCACAGTGGTTGAATCAAAATATTGATTCAAAACATGTAAAAGCTCAGACGGTATACAATTATGAATGTTAAAATCACAGCTGAGGTCATGTCTGGTGTTACCATAGTGCACTAAAAACATCTACAAGAAGAACTGGACGGAAGGGCCCCACTTGGGTCAGACTAGAGACATACAAGTGTGTAAAGGAGAGACTCCAGATAGAAATGTGTTTGGAAGATGGAAGGACCCCATAAGAACATGACTGGAAACATGACGGTGTGTGTGACATTACCTGGCCTTCCCCACCCAATAGGTTCACCTGACTACCATACAGCCACATGAGCATTGGTCCATTTTAGTAGTAGAACAACCCCACATACATGTCAGCACAGAAGAAGGTGTTTGAATGTACTCTTACCTGTGTGTAGGTCTCATCTGGGATTGGTCCATCATTAAGCATCTGAGGAACAGGGCTGGCCTCATTCTCTTCTGCTGCAGCAGGAGTCTGAAGGCCTTTCATCTGAAATATAGATAACAGACAAGACTCAGAACTATATGAAGAGACTTCCAAAGGCAAAAAAGATCATCTAAGTGTGAAACAGCAGCACAGAACGACAACTGAGAACATGGCTTGGCCTTCTGGACTACTGGTAATGAGCAGCTCTCATGACGATTCCAGGAGTTCACAGTGGTTGAATCAAAATATTGATTCAAAACATGTAAAAGCTCAGACGGTATACAATTATGAATGTTAAAATCACAGCTGAGGTCATGTCTGGTGTTACCATAGTGCACTAAAAACATCTACAAGAAGAACTGGACGGAAGGGCCCCACTTGGGTCAGACTAGAGACATACAAGTGTGTAAAGGAGAGACTCCAGATAGAAATGTGTTTGGAAGATGGAAGGACCCCATAAGAACATGACTGGAAACATGACGGTGTGTGTGGCATTACCTGGCCTTCCCCACCCAATAGGTTCTCTTTTGCTGCTGCAGGAGCCTTGTTTTTTCCCACCTGGATTGTAGATGAATAAAACATATCACAGATCAAAGATGAAATGCATTTCCATAGACAACCAAGAGTAATATTGGAAGCATGGTTAATATTGGAGAAATAGCAACCAACTCACCTTACTGCGCCAAGGCCATTTTGAATCACCATAGTTGTAATAAATTTCAGCTCCTATTTCTATTTTCTTCAGAGAAAAAAGGCACAAATGTGGTTTGTTGTCAACTATGATTTTTTTCATAACGCAATTAGGATTTTTGTGGTTGTCATAGACCAATCTTCCGAGAGAGCCATCTTCTTCAGATGCATCCAGGCTGAAAAGTATAAAAAAAAATTGTAATAATTTTACATTTTTTAACAGTTTTATTGAAAGAATTGTTTTCAAAAGATTTTAATATTTGTGCTTTAATTAGTTTATCAAGTATTAAACCCTTGTTCCAGGGATAACTCGGAATTTCTCTAATCAATAAAAATCATCAATTTTTCCATGTTTACCATAAGCAATGGTTCTGCCACTTAAAGCCAAAGAGAAATTTGCTTTCAGTCTCTGAGTATCGTCTTGACTCGCATTCTTCCTTTGTGAGGAGTTTACCCCTGTACTCCAAGACGAAGTCCCCTGGTTCAATGGGGGGTGTGGCAAACACTCCTCTTCCTATAAAATATATAATAATTAAACATTTCATTCTGGGACTCAAAAGAGATACTACAGTATTTTAAAGTGAGGCTGAGGTTCTTGCGTCTAGTCGGTATATAACCTGCAGACAATGCTCAACATTCTCCTTGCAGGTAAACAGATTTTTGATCAGGCTTTCTGTGGCCAAAACATGTTTTTGATGCCAACCCATCCATATGAATGTATCACTGAGGTCCTGTCTATGCTCTGTTACTTTCCCTTAATCTGAGAGTGCTGTGTACCATTTGGTCCACGTAACACACCAGTGAAGTGTAACAACACAGATGCACCCTAACCCATGCAACTCAGACTTGACATAAACCGACAAACAGATGTAGATGGATCCCAGACTGGAAAATTACAGTGGGGCCACAGCAAGGCATGGAACTATATATTAAATAGCAATACAAAAAAGTATTCCTATTTGCAATATATGAGACAGAAAAGCAATATAACAAATGTATATACAACAAATAGATTATAATGTATGGTGCAAATGAGCTTTAAGTTGCAGTAAACTAAAAATGCATTTAAATCTATTTTCACAAGTGCAATGACATTATGATTTACAAGTTTGTAATAATTGAGATTTGACACCCAGAGATTGTGAGGAAAAAATGTATGCAGAGGAAGAAATAGAGAAGAAAGTGCTATTTCAAGGTTCCTGCATCTTTTTTAAAAATCTAAATAAATGCTTTTTAAATACCTTAGGAGCTCAGTAAATGACACATAAGTCCTAACAGGCCAAGAGAAACAAGAAAAGAACTGAAATTCATTCATGTGAATGATGACATCTACTTTTAATGTTTAATAATGCAATCCCTACTAACTTCACCCTTTCCTTGTCATTTTTGGATCAGTACAGATGAAATTTGCCTTAAAGAGCAAACTGCAGCTTAGAAACAAACCAGAGGGAGAACTCATCAGCCAAAGCAGAGAGATTTATCTGTGGTGTCAGGAGGTTCTGTGGAGGAGCAGGTGTTTCTGTGAGGGAACGATGCTAGCTAGCTTGCTACAACTCGTGCGCTAACAAAATGTTACTGTCATGCAGAGCAGTGGTTCCCAAACTTATTTAGCCGCGCACCCCCTTCTATGTCCCGACCATGTTGACGCACCCCCCAGCCCCACATCAGGGCATGGCTATACATATATATATATATATATATACATATCAGACGTCAAGCTAAACCAGGGGTCGGCAACCTGTTCCCATCAAAGAGCCATTATTACCCGTTTCCCACAGTAAAGAAAACACTGCAGCAGCCGCGGCGTTGTGGGCGGGGCCTACCCTCAGACAGCAGAGCGCTGCAAACAACAGGTGACAGCAGCCGGTACCGGTCGCTCGTGTACGTCAAAGTTATCTTTCATAAGAAGGTAATCAATAAAACGATTTATATGAAGTGGATCCAGAAGTTGTAGCCCGTCTCTGCTACAATATTTAGATATTTTTCACCCTGTTGGTGGTTTTACTGAGCAGGTGCCACTTTTGTCATACGTTTCTTTTTAAAACATGTTTAGACTGTTCAGAATACAAATCCAGGCTCTGTCACGTTTGATTGTTGGAATTAAACTTTGTAGGTGGGGAAGGTCAGAAAAGGATCCGATCATTTTGTTTTTCCCTCATTTACAGTGACGGAGATAACGGCGCAGTGCGCCTGGCTCTGGTGTTAATCAAGTTAAATTTGTAACAACTTTCACAAGAAAACAGAACAGTTAAAGCAGGGCTTGTGTTGTGTTAACCGGATAGTTCCCGTATTTGACCGTTTATTTTGCATGGAGAAAGAATAGAAAGAATTACCCCGACGCAAGCAGACGAACTGACACTTTATTCTACGCAAATCGCAGATGTAGCTAAATCACTCAAGAAAAGATTTCCTTCTGAACATCTGAGCTGGACACCGCTCAGTCAGCGCATACATAAGGTGCACAGCGAGCTGAAAGTGTGGAGAGGGGCTTGGAGCACTTCGCAGAACCAGAGCGCATGCGGGAAGGTTCCTCCCACTGAAGCGAGTTTGCCAAAACCGGTCTCTAAGAGAGACTTGTCACTTAGAAAATGTTCCCTGATTATGAAACTTTGGCTGAATAGCGCTTGTTCCTGTCTCCAATGTGGCGACACATCCAGGAGCCGTCTGAAGAGAATCCCAGAATCTCACATCCTCTTCAGCTCAGACAGCGCCTATGATTACGCACAAGCGTGACCCGTCAACCCGGTCTCACAGTAAGACCGGTTTGGACCTGTTCAGGTTTACGCAGACAATCTACATTTAGAATTAGCTTACAGATGTAAAATTAATTCAGTAAAATATAAAGCATTTTATTTAAATATCCATTCATTATTTTACAAGCAAAGAGAGCCGCATGGAAGAGCCGCATGGAAGAGCCGCATGCGGCTCCAGAGCCGCGGATTGCCGACCCCTGAGCTAGGGCATGTGCGGAGGACACACACACACACACACAAGCAAAATATACTTGTTTTCAATTACGTTCATTGGGCCCACTTACTTTTTCTTAGGCCCACCCACAAATGAGTTTCTGGCTACGCTAATGGTGACTTTTGACAGACTTCTCTGAGCTCCGCAGCCATTACACTTTTCACCTCACGTACCCCCTAGCGGCACCACACTTTGGGAATCCCTGATGTAGACAATTAAAATATTATTGGTCAGTTAATATAATATTGATTCTTGACAATGAGCATTTGTCAGCTGTTTAATACTTGTTAATATCCATTCACGTAATGTAGCTTAGCGCTTTAGAGAGAGGGAGAGACGCATGTCATCTTATCCAGAGCACAACCCAGAAACCAGCTTCCCTGGCCCGCTAGCATCTTTTAAAAGCTTTGCATCCTCTTCTTGAGGTTAGGAGCACAAGTTCCTAGCCAGTTCCGACCCAGAAACCAGCATCCCCGCCTCACTAGGAATTTTTGAAAGCTCTATCCTCTTCTAGAGCTCCAATGCTGATCTGGGTAGGAGCCATCAAATATTTTTCAAAACTCCACCAAGTGGCTCTGGAGGATAGGAGGCATGTTGAACTCCCGTCACATCACTGGGATTGTAAAACTCTGGTCTGGTGTGGAGCAGAAACGACCGTGTTTTCAGCTGCACAAAATGCACCAGAAAAGGAAGAAGATGCTGTTCATCTACAGACTACTGGAGTCTGTAGATCCTCCACACAATAGTTTACCATTTTTTTTCGAAAAATCAATGGTTCCACTTATATTACATTATCTATGTGAACTCTCCAAGATTATTTAGAGCTGAGAGGCGCAGAGCTCTGATCGTTGATGCGCTCCAGACAGATGCATCCTGAGCACAGCCACAGCAACATTCTCAAAGTGTCGCCATCTCAAAAACAAATTTAACACGTAATCGTTCATGTCGGCTCATATCCCTTCATGCTTTCTGTCTTTTATTTGTGCCTGATGCATTTTGCTGCTGTGGAGCAGAGCGCATCACCTGTTTCATTCTGCTGTGACTTCACCTCACTGATGCGGTCTGTGCGTAGCACACACTCCTCTATATTTGCGGTCGGTAGATCTTTTAGAACTGCAGTTCAAAGGTAACTCATAAGGTGAATATATATGAAGCCAGATAGCAGTTTTTCTTTAGGATTGAGATGAGATGAAGGAAGATGATAAACAGACAGGACAGAAAAATAGTCAAATAAAAATAAGTTCCTTTTTGTACCTGCTGGTAGCAACAAACAGACACCATTTAAGGTAATCAGAAGTCAGCAACAGAAAATTAAATCATTCTTTCAATGTTTAGAGCAGCATGAACTCTGAGAGGCTGCAGGCGCATCAGTGAGTTTGCAGTAAAGATGCAAAAACTACCATTGTTAAAAGAAATGTGTTTAACTTTGAAAATGTGGGCGCAATTTTAATTACTTGTCAACTTGTCAACTGCTTTGCTTTTGAAAAACACAAGTTGTGTCAAGAAATTTTCGCAAATTACCTTTGTAACCGTCAATGTATCTCGACATAAACCCAACCTTGTCAGTACAGGACAGGATGTGTGTCTTTGCATCATCTATAGGCTTTTTCCTCCTCTTTCTTGTGGACATAATGGCTCTGTGAAAATAATCGTAATTAGTACTTAGTCAAGGCAAATCTCACAGAAAGGTTTTTGAAAAATAGCAAGAGAAAAATAAAATCTAGAACATTCATACAAACACACATACAGCAGCTGTGCATTGAGCTTTGCTATTGCATGATGCACATTGTTTAACATCAAACACAGGATAATGAAATATACAAATTCTGAAATGTGTACACTGAGAGCTGACCGAGCCTGTTGAAGCCAAGAAGTTAGTTTGTTATATAATAACCAAGCTGTGCTGCAAAGACACTCAGTCACTAATCTAAACTAGGGCTGTCAAACTTCTGGTACAACAACATCACTGACACATGCAGCATTTTCAACCTGGACCTTATTTTTTTTAGCCTGGCCAGCCAGACTCACTCTGTTCAATTCTGCACAGAGCGAGTCTGGCTGGCCAGGCTATTTTTTTTAACAAATATTACGTTAATTTACTCACCCAGACAAGTGTGGACCTACTTGGCGTAGTTCAGGAGGAGTTTTAATCAGGTTGCTATCACTGTATATCCATATAATGGGAGCCTATCAGGGCAGGATATTATAAGATTATCTGCCCCAAAACTCCTTCATTTAACAATGTTTTGTTGAGAATAGTTAAAAAAAATTCCTCTGTGAGTTCAGCACGTCTTGAAGGTGCTAACGTATTAGCTTCTGGAGTTTCTACAGGCTTTTAATGCAACCGATTCCAACTGAGATTTCAATAACGTTGCAGCCCTCCGCCATTACGGCTGTAGTCCGCGTAGGTTGCTGAAAGAGTCTGTAGAAGCTGAATTTAGTCCAATTGGTCATTCGATTATTGCAATTTGGAAATACGCAAACCCGAACTACACTGATGTCAACAGCAGCAAGTTCTGTCAAACCGACCGTTGCAGAGCACAGAGTTAAAGTGCTGGCCGGACTACAACCAAGATGGCGACTGGCCGTGACGCTGTTTTAATCGCACAATATTGTTGTATTTTTGCCTTGAAATCACCCCAAACCGAACAAATAAACACTTACGAGATTTTCTGAACTCCGATGGGAGTAGTGTTAACGTTTAATAAGAACACTTGGTTAAATGAAGGAGTTTGAGGGCAGATAATGCAGCAACAACTCCTGCAGTTTTGCTCCCATTGGCATTATATGGATATAAGCTAATGGCGACTCGATAAAAAAACTCCTTCTGAGCGGATCCAAGTAACTCCAAACTTGTCTGGGTGAGTAAACAACGAACTATTTATAATATTATGTTGCTAAAGTTAGCCACATGGCAGCCAGCTTAAATACATCCCAACAGAACGCCAAAATATAAACTCTTCTGAACCATGCCTAGCTTACCTGCTGCATGCAGAGGTCGGTAAATGTAAAAATATTCAAAATAATCCAATCACTCCGTCGTCTTTTTGTCTTCAATCCGTGTTGTTTTCTTCTTGCTGTGAACTTCCGGTAGTTTTCCTCAGTGCAGCAATGTCATTGGCCAAAGGTTTCAGACTCCCGCGGTGTGTATAAGATTTTGCGGGAAGTGTATATCCTGACTTCCGGTTACGGTCGGCTGCAGGATACACACCTTTACACACTTGCCCACTTTTTGCTACCTTAGGGGACAATTTTTTGACATGAAAAAAAAAGCAATGGTAGCATCAGGGGAGGCTGCTGAGCTCATTTTAATTGAAATCGGAGTGGGGTCCACCATTTTGGGCCCCACTTGGATTTTGGACCTCCTTAGGTGGGTGTGCTCCCACCCATGGGAACCCACACCGAGAGAAATGTTAGGACACACACACACACACACACACACCATATGTGTGAAAGCCACACAAGCTGCTCTGTTTGCTTTGAAATGTTTCCCACGTTGCATCTTTATGAGTTCTGGCCTCATACATCTTCTGCTTTAATGCTGCTCTCCTGTCCTCATGTCAGAATAAACTCTTGAAAGTGTTTTCCTCCGGGTTACAAATCCCTCCCAGGACTCTGATTTCCTGTTCCTGCTCTTTCCCCGGTTGATCCGAGCATGCCCAGCACCCCTTCGCCTTCATTTGACACATATCCTTCGCTGCCCCACACCCGGAGCAGCGGGGATCAGCGGGGCGGCAGGATATTGCACCTGGCATCAACCTAAACACACGGTGCGTCCTGCAGAAGTAATCTCCAGGCTGAGACTATTTGATGTGACAGTTTAAACACTTGCACTCAGAGCCGCACGTTGGGGAGGAGGTGCTGAAGGAGGCTGGGTGAGCGGAGGAGGTGCTGAAGGAGGCTGGGTGAGCGGAGGAGGGGTGCAGGCTGGTGACCTGCAGGGGTTCTTCATGATGAGGAAACTGCATTTAGGCCTGATTGCTGTGGGTCACTGCAGGTGAGTGTCAGTAGTTGGAAGGAAGTAATTTTCCCTCTGGAGCGAGTTACCTGATGGGGTAAGTAGCTGACCTTTGACCCTGACCCGAGTTCTTGAGCTGAGGAAAAGAGTTAGATTATGATCAGTGGCAAGTACATGAAGGTTAATGCGCTTTGATCAAGAAAGCATCCTTTTATAATTCCCCACAGAGAGCTTAAGGGCCGTCGAGTACATTTTTTATTTTCCATCGACCCATTAAGACTTATTTTGACTCGTGAGCTATTTGGCAATAAAAACAAGCATTTCCCGCTTTAGTCACCCAGATTCCTCATGTTTCCGTTGGACATGAACAAGGGAAGAGGCTGCAGGCCTGATTCAGACACCTTCAGCATCTTCCTAATGAACAATCAACCATTTTAACGCTGAAACATTTTTTCAAAATGCTAATGAAGCTACTTGTATCATTAGCTGCTTCACATCTGGAGAAAAAGTTTTGCAGAGATTTTGCAATCTGCATCTTTTCCACATGTGCAGATGTGTTTGTGTGTAATAATCAGTGTAGCTGTAAATGTTCATGGTTCACCACGGATCCGTCTGAGGCTCTCTGTGCTGAAGACGAGCATCCGGTCAGTGTTGGTGGACAGACGCCGCTCCTCGTCAGCTGCATCATGTGACCCTTTTATTCTTGTTTCTGTTAGTTTTGCTCCAGCAGCTGTTTGGCAGCGGTTGGCCAGACTGGACTGTTTGGGTTTAGAAACTGAGGTTTACTTTCACGTTCCCACGCACTCGAGACCAAGCATCAGTCTGGGTTTGTGTCCATGATTAAAAAAATCTCCTGAGAGAAAACTCAGAAACGGAGAAAATAGAAAGCCTGAGTGTTTTTATTAATAATGTTAGAAAGAAGACGGAAATGGTTTATTGCCTCAGGCAAATTTCTTTCTACAAAAGTCTAACCCTATAATTTAAATTGTTACACTGCAAAATTTCCAGGACTCATTTCATTATTACTTAATTACATGAATATCAGTAATCTGGTATTTTTTACATTGTTCCATCTCATTGTTAACACGTATTTGTGAATGTTGCATTCTTTTCTCTCATTTATATTCATGATATAAACTGTAGAATTGTTTTTAAAACACATTTTTATGCAAATATAATTATTTAGAACTTCAAACGAAGCAGAAAAATCTGCCATTTTTAAAATGAGATATTTCACCAGATCCAAGTTTCCTTTCTCTTAAATGTACTTTTCCTGATTGTTCCTGACCCAAAATCTGCCGTGGCATCAATGATTATGATGCAGCTGACGGGATTATTTCTTTGCTATTAGTCAAATCTGCAGAATTAGACATCATATTTATAATTTGAGATTCTAGAATAATGACTTCCTGAATATTTTCATTTTCTCGTTGGAAACCTTACAGTGATTGTTGGTTTTTGGGGTTTGCACCTTCCCCTGGTGGAGAAAAAGCATCTCCTCTTCCTCCCTCCTGCTGTGAAACTGATCAGCTGCTTCCTGTCTGTAAATAAAAGGCAAACTGTAATCCACTTGATAAATATCAAGCAGAATATGGCAATCAGCTGAAAGCAAATTGCCAGTGTGTGCTCCAGCCAGCGGCTTGTGATTTCTCTCCTGTCATCTATTATGGAGCACACACTCAGGCCAAAACACACAATACTCCCAGATTGCTGTCATATGGAGAGCAAGCCCTGAAAAACCTTCATTTTTCCTTGTCTGCACTTCAAATAAACTTGTACTTGTTAAATAACTGGAGAGATGTTTTTCTTTTCCAGGGGTTGCAGTAATGTGCCACTTCCTTTGTTTGTTGGAAGCTCGGCTGCAGGACCGGAGACGGGTTTGATCTCCGTGGATGCAGCCTGTTGAACGCTGCGAGTCTTTAGATGTCATACTCATCTCCTAAAAGCTCCCCTGGGTTCTCTTCATACTGTCCACTTTTCCTGAGCAGTTACTTTGGGAAAAATCAGATTTTTTATGCACTTTTTAAAAATCCAAACATGTGACAAGAGAAAGCAGCTTGTAGCGTTAATCGTATTGATCTGTTTTTCCAGTTGTTTTATTTTGATTAAAGCCCTCTGATGACAGACGTGATCCCAGCTGCAGAAGGACTCCGATCCAGCTCTTTATCTCCTACATCTAACCACATTCACACAGACGACTGCTGCCGAGGTTCTAAAGAAGACCTTGGTGTTGCCTTTGGGTCTCCCTCCGCCCTTCTCCAGTCATTTTCCTTCAGCCAACATGTCGGGTAGACGATCGTTCGTCCCTGCTCTGTGACCCTGACCTGGCAAACAGGCAGCAAATGTAGAAAAACAATCAACTTGCCCCAAAACAAAACCTTCTTTAGTTAAGCATCAAGAGAGAGCGTGCATGTCTGTTCATTCAGGTGAACTAAAACCAGCTGCATTAGGAGGGATCTCAGGTCTGTTTAGTTAAAACATAAACAGAAAATAGCTGTTTAGACACATTTAAGATGTAAACATCATGAGTGAAACTGTGCAGATAAACAGCCACACAAAGTTGTTGTGGGTTCGATATCATCTTTAATGTTTTGGACCAACATTTATGGTTGTGCAGCTGAAAACAGTTTCAGGCAGCTTTGGTTGTAGGTGATAAATGTGGCTTGTTGTGGCTCTCGCTCCACTCAGGGTTTATTGTAGTCTAAGTCTGCATGAGACAATGACGGCATTCTTGTGCAAAACGTAGCTTTAAATTATGCAGTCACAATTTTTTTATTCAGTTTTGGAAAAGTTTGGCTTTTTTAATTATGCAGGTTATGTTATTATCAGATGAAACACAGACGGGTGCTAACACACGCAGGAAGGTGAGCTCAGACTGTTAAAACATGCATTTCTCTGGTAGACTCTTCTTTACACCAAATCTATTTAGTCATGAGTTTGAGAATCCCAACGGTCCCTCCACATGAAACAGTTCAGTAAAGACATGGCATCCCTTCTGCAGCGACGAGGAACTGGTCAAACCCTGTTGATGGAAGAGCAGCAATAACAGGGATATTTAATAATCACGTTCCTTTCCCGAGTCTTCCCGCATCAGGACCGCTTCTCTTCACTGAGAGCTGCTTACAGCTACGTTCAGAGCTGCTGAAGAGCTTTACTCCAACAGTACAGACAGATTAAGACAGCGTAACTCTGCTTTTCTAAAGGGATTAATAACAAATGCTTCTTTTCTATAAAACCCTTCAGAGCTGAAGTTTGTTGTTGTTGTTTTTTGTATTCATTCTATTTTAAGTTTGGTTCACCTTGTTTCTTGTTGCTCTCAGTTCGCTCAGATTCTCACCACACCTGGTCCACCTTTGGTCGTCCAGTCTCAGCGCGGTCTCTCCTCAGTTCTTTGTGAGAATTCCCCATTCCCATGCCTGTTTCTGCCCCTGGAATCGTGTGTTTTTGTTTTTATTTTAGTCCCTTTTATGCCTGCCCTCTCATTGTCTGCTGCTTTCACTCATGGACGCTACAGACCAACACAAATCAGGGCTATGCTGTTGCTGAAAGGTCTTGGGAAAGCAATCAAACCATAAAAATGTTTACGAGCATATCTAGATGTTGATGTTGACATTTGCACCACATACACGTGTTTTTTCACGTAGAAGAAGAACATTTCATTGTCGGCTCTTTTATTTTATTACCCGATACAAATGTTTCTAGTTTTTTATTTTTATATTGTAGAAATACTTTATTTTTGTAAACCATAACCATTTTACAAATAGAATAGTAGTTGTGCACATTCAACAAAACTCACTTTTTAAAATCTTTGTTTGTGATAATTTATTGTTATCCAAATTTTTTCTTGGAAACACAAAGAAAGATCATTCTGTACAAGAAAGGTTTCTTTCACTGATGTTTTTGGTTGATTTTATGATAAAAAAAAAAGTTTACTCACTTATTTCCAAGTGACCTTGTTGGCCGTAGGAATCGGAGACAATAAACTGAATAATCAGTCAGTTGAAATAAAAATTATTTGTTTTGGTAAATTATTATTTTGTTTATAAAATGTCGTGCTTCTGAATATAAAATGTGATCTTTGCATTTTCTTATTTGACCTTATTTGACCTTTGCTTTACAGTAACTTTGTTTACAAAGCAACAATAAAAAATATTCTATTCTGTTCTATTATATTTGTTCCTTCTGGAGAAATCAAAGAAAATGTGTCACTGTGAATATTTCCAGCATGTTGAAGAATAAACTGTTGTCCCCCTCCACCTGCTTTTGAATCCTGAAACGAATGAGCAGAAAGCTTTGAGAAGTACCCACCAGGACAACCAAAGCTTTGGAGCTTTAGCTCGTCTAAAAACAAGGAACGTCAGGGTCGGTCAGCTGGTGGACTTTGCAAGCATCGGCTGCAGGAAGGAATGTGTTGTTAAATCTGAAAGCAGAAGGTGAGCGTTTGCGTTCAGGAGGTAAACAACAACATTTGCATGATGAGAATCTGTCTAATGGAAGAAAATCAACAAAAACAAAATCTGTTGTTATATAAATACGATCAGAAGTGGAGAATCGGTCATGTTTTTATGTAAATTCGCGGTAAATCTTAGGTTCTGGCATGTGAAAGGAAACAACATCCATCCTATTTTCTAGTTTTATTTTCTGTTTTTACCATGAATTGTCTTTTTGTTTTAGTTGAAGCAGGAAACTCACAAGGTTCATGCACATCGTTTCAGTGAGAAGTTTCAACTGAGAACCAGAACAAAATCTGAATTGTTGTGTTTTTTTCCAAGAAGATGATTTCTCAGCATCATAACTTGCATGAATCTGATTTCCTGTTTCTGCTGCTGTCGTCCTCCAGCTGAGTGCTTGCTCTCTTCTGTTTCTCTTTGACAAAAGGCACACGTCTCAAGGAGACGGGGGTTTCTGCAGAATGTTCATGCATCTGTTGAAATGGGCTTTCCAGTGATTTCTGATTTCTGCAGTCATGTTGTTGTTGTTGTTGTTGTTGTTTTGAGTGCTGTTGTGTTTTGTGCTTACACATTTTCAGGCAGAAGAACCTTCATTGCTGGAGATTTGAATGGAGACAAAAAAACTGATTTTTAACTTTCAAGAAAATGGAAGAGATTTGTGAACAAATCCTTTTATGGACATCGGACCATTGGTTGTTAGAAAATCTTTACATTAAAATAAAAGAGAAAATTACGCTGCAGAGCAAAAGCATGAAGTCGGATTCAATGAAAACCTGCAGATGAATCAAGAGTTTGAAGCCCGCCTTTCTTCAGAGGTGTGGAGCTGCTGGCTGGAGAAGAATACTGAACTTGAATGCTGCTGCAGCTTTTCAGAGAAGAGTGTTTTGTAATTGATCAAAGATTCCTGTTATTCTAAAGGGTCAGAAAATAAAACACAAAATTTAAATATTATTTTTTTGCTCTAAACTCAGCTGCATATTTGTGTTTTTCTGCAGAAGAGGAGGGCTGTGGACGCTGGCTGCAGCATCACATCCTGTCTGACTGGACTGGTGTAAACTGGGCGGAGAGAGAGCAGAGCAGAGCCAAACTGGAGTTTGACTCCTAAAAGTTGCTCAAGTTGGATTTTTTAAAGCAGAAAAAATCGGCAGGACTGTCCGTGGGGATGAGCCATGCTTCACCGGATTATTTGTGCATTTTCCACGTGATGTTTTTTGTATTTTTCTCCGGAGAAACTTTTGCTGAACGATGTTTTCGCTGCTTTTTGGAGCTTTTATGCATCTGAAGTATATGTTTTTACATGCCATCTTTTCCCATTTCTCTGCTTCCAATATTTATATCCAAGATGGTAATTAACATAATGTTGCATTCCTGTTAATTTCCACACGTGAAGGACAACACGGAGTCCAGATTGCCCCCCAAACGCAGATTTTGGCACTTTATGAATGCAGCTGTAATCACCAGGGGAGCCTCGAGAGCTTAAATGGGTCCATCACCAGAAAGAGACAATCAGGCTCCTTTATGTCTCAAGATCAGCAGCAGTTTCTGCACATTGTCTCTTATGAATAGACCGATCTCCAGTTGAGCCTCTCCACTTTGGAGATTTTTCGATTTTCGATTATACAGCTATTGAAATTAGGACGCACCGCTTGTTCCCTCCCTCGGCTTGGTGGCACGGCTGCCTTCTTTTGATTGACAGGTGAAATTGACACTCGGGTTGCCTCTTATCAAGCGAAGCATTTCAATCCGCCGCTAATTGCAGATGTGGTGCCATCCTTTTCTTTTCACCGCGTGTGATTGCAAGCAGCCTTCCGTTGCGCACAAGAGCAACGATCGATCACGTCTGGTTTTTCCTCTCTCTCTCTCCTCTTTCTTCTAATTGCATCAAAATTTCTTTTGTTGCCAGGGTTTAAATGCAGGAGAAACTGTAACTCGTTGTTTTTGGGCCGGATATAGCGAGGGCTGCGCGGGGGCAGAGATGCGTAATGCGCAGAGAGAAGTGGAGCTCCTCTCCGAGTAGGCAGCGTTCCGCACCCGAAAATGGTGAGTCACAAACATCTGGATGAGTTTAGTTTCATTTCTCTGCACTTCAGTTGATTTTCAAAGGAGAGAACCCCGCTTTGGTGGCGTGTTTAGTCAGGAGAGCTTGAACCGACGCGCTGCGGGTTATTATAAGAAATGGGAAAAACAAAAACTAAAGTTTTAGTTAGAAAAGGAAAAATGTTTCATGATAATTCAGTTTTATTATTTGGGTGATAATGCATTCTGAAACTTCAGTAAACTTTACTGAAGTCATTCACAAAATGTTTCCTGCATGAGAAATGTGAGCTTTCTTCGTGCTGCTGGCACCGAAATTCCACTTTTAGTTTATTAGAAATAATATTTAAAAGCTACAATCGTCATTAAACATTTAATTAAACGTGCGTCTGGTCGCACAGTCTGAGCCGGAGGTGAAGAAGGAGTCCGGGGAGTCCAGCCCGCCGGAGGCCGCCTGCCTCTGCTCTCCTCCGGCCGCCAACCAGTGCGCCAGCTGCGGCATGGAGATCCAGGACCGGTACCTGCTGAAGGTGCCTGAGCTTCAGACTCAACTTTCTGCTTACATTTGATTTGATGCCTTATTGTTAATTAACTATTGAGAGTTATTTAATAGAACGTTTGGAGACACCTTTAAGAAATGGTTATAAATAAGAACAAAAATGTTAAATGAGCATTTTCCCTACGTTGACCCTTTTGACTGGAGAGTGTGTGCGCTGTCCGTGCGTCAGGCTGTGAGTGTGTGTTGTCTTGTCGCAGGTCAACAACCTGAACTGGCATCTGGGCTGTTTGGAGTGTTCCGTCTGCAGAGCGTCTCTGCGCCAACACAGCAGCTGCTACGTGAAAAACAAAGAAATTTACTGCAAAGTGGATTATTTCAGGTAAGAGCAGAGCTGCTCTGCGCTTAGTTTTAATTTTATTTATCTGTTCTGGTTGGTGAATATCTCTTAATGAGAGTTTTTCTCCCAAAACAATTATTTATCTGACATCCTATCAAAGTAGGCCTGACTTCGAACATTTTATGTATGAATTTATTTATTGTTTTAATCAGCTTATTTGACAATACTGTTAATTAAAAAATCCTTTAAGATAGAATATGTTTGGAAAAGCACATTTTTTATCGGAAAGTTCGTTTGGTTAAATGTAAATGCATCTATGTACAAAACAATAAATATAACACATTAATAATTACTAATGACTTAATCCCAAGACACTTCCTGCAAATTTCCTATTTAATCGTTTTAATAAAACTGGTTTTGAGAGAAAACAAGAATAATGTGTTCATTTTAATTTAAATTCTAATGGGTTTCATTTGGTTTTTAGACCATTTCATCTGATTTTTTCTCTTAGAAAATGAAAACTCGTTTCATTTTTATTGTGAACAACTTAAATAACGGATGCGATCTTTAATTCTGTGTCATGGGTCTGAATTGTTCCTTAAACAAAAGAAAATAAAGTGTTTTTCTCTCATTATTAATGCCTCTGATGACTTTAATATGTGATTAATTCCCCTCAATCCGGCTCATTTTCAGCTTCTCTTCTCTATTTTGGTCTAAATAGAAAGAAAATATGTTTATTTTTGCTCTCATCAATGAGACGCCATGCCTCTGACGGGTTTGGCCCTTTGTCTCCTCTAACTGGAAGTATCAGCTGATTTTGTGGCTCCTTCTCATAAAGGAGCCTTATTTTGTGTGTTTACCTTGTCCTCTCGTTCTTTAATCCAATTACAACAAATAAACTGACACAGGAACCTCAAGCTGAAAGCAGGACACTAAGTTTTCGGGGGAGGATTGAGGAACATCTGCTCTGACTCAAATGTTTGCTGCTTTAATCTTCAATTTGCACCAAATCAGATTAGCACCGAGCTTCTGTTTAACCCTGATTTTGACCTTGCTGCATGATTTCTGTTCTCATCCTTCTAAATTATAATCTGTTGAACTTTCACAGTTTTATTATTTAAGAACGGTGTATTTTGATGTTTAAAACAAAGAAATGTTAATTTTCTGTCATTTTGTAATAAATTAAATCACCAAACTGGCATCTAAATGAAACAGGAAGTAAGTCACAAACACCCTGCTTGTGTTCTCCTAACTCACAGTAGGTTTGGCACCAAATGTGCCCAGTGTGGCCGGCAGGTGTACGCCAGCGACTGGGTGAGACGGGCTCGAGGCAGCGTGTACCACCTGGCCTGCTTCGCCTGCTACTCCTGCAAGAGGCAGCTGTCCACCGGGGAGGAGTTTGGCCTGGTGGAGGGCAGGGTGCTGTGCAGGAGCCACTACGACATCATGCTGGAAAACCTCCGCAGGGCTGCAGAGAACGGTAACACAAGACTGGAGGATTCACCTGTGATGGAGCAGAAATACACCCGAGGAGGCAAAATGCAAATGTGCACATGAAAATTCAAACTCTTAAAGACCAACAGAGTCATGATAAAACAGCTGTTACGATAGGTTCAGTTGTTTTTACAGACAAAACATTCTTAAAAAGTACCCGTTGTTGTTCTAAGGGTGGGTCTTGCTTTGTTTGTCAACAACAAATTTGGGTTTTAAATAAACAAAATAAGTCCTGTGGTTATGATGCACCAACATAGACAATAGATGCTTTATAACCGTACATGTGTAATTGAAGCATCGAAAAAGGTTTTAAACACAAATATTTAAATGTCTAGTTACAAATATTGTTTTTTTAATTGGTAGTCCACTTCAGGTGTGTTACTTCATCTGAGCATCTGTAAGAAAATTTAACCGATATTTTGGGAGCTCATTGATGCCCCAGTCACATTTTCCATAACAAAAAATCTGATTTTACAAATACTTCCTAACCCTTAATGAGGTTTTATGTCTAATGTTGATTTTTTTTGTGCAACTCCTCAATTTGCTGAGTGGATTTCATGTTTGTGGTCACCTTCAGGTACGGGTCTGACTCTGGAGGGAGCGCTTCCCTCTGATCAGGACTGTCAACCAAAACCAGCCAAGAGGGCACGGACTTCCTTCACAGCTGAGCAGCTGCAGGTGTGTGTGTGTGTGTGTGTGTGTGTGTGTGTGTGTGTGTGTGTGTGTGTGTGTGTGTGTGTGTGTGTGTGTGTTTGATACAAGCTTGTGTGTGTTTGTCCTCGCAGGTCATGCAGACTCAGTTTGCTCAGGACAACAACCCAGACGCGCAGACGCTGCAGAAGCTGGCAGAAATGACGGGACTGAGCAGAAGAGTCATACAGGTGAGTCAGCTTGACTTCATACAGGTGAGTCAGCTTGACTTCATACAGGTGAGTCAGCATGACTTCATACAGGTGAGTCAGCATGACTTCATACAGGTGAGTCAGCTTGACTTCATACAGGTGAGTCAGCATGACTTCATACAGGTGAGTCAGCATGACTTCATACAGGTGAGTCAGCATGACTTCATACAGGTGAGTCAGCATGACTTCATACAGGTGAGTCAGCATGACTTCATACAGGTGAGTCAGCATGACTTCATACAGGTGAGTCAGCATGACTTCATACAGGTGAGTCAGCATGACTTCATACGGGATCATTTCACAAATATCTAAATAAACACAAAACAATGAAATCAGAAAAACATCACATTTAAACTTCATAAATGTACATCTTGTAGGAAATTTCTCTGTTTTTGTTCTTTTCTCCAGAAATGTGTTTAATTGGATTTACTTTTTAGGAGCTAAAATATATATATATATACATATATATATATATATATATATATATATATATATATATATATATATATATATATATATATATATATATGTATATATATATATATATATATATATATATATATATATATATATGTATATATATATATATATATATATACATATATATATATATATATATATATATATATATATATATATATATATATATATATATATATATATATATAAACAGCACTTATTTATAAGTATTTTAAAGGGCTGTTAGATATCAGCTGTTGTTACTGATATACCAACATAGTCTAACTCTTCCTTTCCAACACTAACATCTGCAGGATCGTCCCTTATAAATAAAACAACATCAGTTTCTGTAACTTCACACACATCGTAAAATTATTCTGTAAACATCGGTGTAAAATATGACACGTGCAATTTCAGTTTGGTCAGTTTAACCAAACAAATAAAAAAGACTCGGACACGAACTACTGGATCTGTCACATTTTGACTTGTTGAGTGTGAGAAGTTTGACGTAAAACATGTGTGTGGCGTGTAGAGTTATCAGAGGTGTGACCAAGTCACTGCTTTGCAAGTCACAAGTCTTTCCAGTCAAGTCTCGAGTCAAGTCCAAATCAAAGACAACAAAGTCCAAGTCAAGTCCAAGTCCTTAACTTTGAATTTTCAAGTTCTAATCAAGTCCTCTGTCCAACTTCTATTTCATGACAATGAAAATAGATAAATTCCAGAATTAAAGTTTCGTTTATTTACTCAAACAAGCAGAAACTGAAACGGGTTAAAAACAACGTGCTGCTGCATTCAGCAGTTAAACAAGCCCAGAACCAAGAACGATTCATGATTTTTGTTCATGTCGCGCTGCTTCTGTACTAAAATACGCTCAAGTCATCATCAAGTCAACAGATGCAAGTCGGCTCAAGTCGCAAGTCATTGGCATTCAAGTCTGAGTCAAGTCGTAAGTCTTTATAGATTTTACCAAGTCAAGTCAGAAGTCATTAAAATAATGACTCGAGTCACATGACTTGAGTCCAAGTCATGTGACTCGAGTCCACACCTCTGGAAGTTATTATTAAGTTACATTTTAATGCCAACATCAGTCGACAATATCGATGTTGTCGAGTCAAACGTCAAAGTTTTATTGATTCAGAAAACTTTAAATATTCCAGCACTGATGATGATTTTAAAACGGCGTAGGAGCTGACCGAAGTGCTGAACTGGACGTTAAAAAGGTAAACAAGAGCAAAATACAAGATTTAATAGTCACAAAGCTAAATACATTAAAATCATGTACCACACATGCAGCCACGTACAATCAAATCTGTGTTCAGATGCAGGTTAAAAGAAATGGGCCTCAAGAGTTAAAGCTGCTCTAATGTCTTATTTATTCTACTCCTCATTTAAAGAGTTTTCAGTTATGGTTGTGTACAGGAGTTAAAGCCACCTCAGTTTCTCGTTTTAAAACTGCATTCATCTAGCAGAATACGGCTGAATTAAACTGGTGAATCAGTCTGAGTGAACTGTAGAGGAAAAGTGGTTCATTTAAGGATTCCTCCCATCGGAGCGGTGCTGACCTTCCTCCTTCTCCAGGTCTGGTTCCAGAACTGCCGAGCTCGACACAAAAAACAGCCGCATCAGGGAGCGTTTCCTCAGAGCGCTCCCATGTCCAGGATGCCTCCGTCGCTCCCAGAAGACATCCACTACTCATCGTTCAGCAGCCCGGACCGACCGCACCTCCTCACCCTGCACGGATACCTGGACGGTGAGTCTGAACCTTCTGATTCAGCCGTCTGCTGCTCCCGACCCCTAAAATCTATTTTCTGTGAACAGGGTCAAATTCGGGGGTTTTCTTTGGTTTTTAACATAAAGTTTGTTAGTTTAAATGTTTTATTTTAATGAATAAAATATTTTTAAACATTTTTCAGGCTAAAATATTTTGTGCACTTTGTAAATGGATCTGATTGCTGCAGTTATTTGATGGCAAAAATACAAGAAGTCATTTAAACCCCAAAACACCCTTAAAAAGTGTCCCAATTAAACATTTCCTACAGAAAAATACAAAAATAACGTGACTTCATTGTTACACTGAACATTTTAAACATGTCTTTGGTAATTCTTGAGTCTGACACCTTCATCTTGATGAGACTAAAATGTTTTTATGTTGAAATTTTCATTAGATGACTTAATTACATTTAATTTGTAATAAATCCTTTACTTTTATTAAAAGCTTTGTTGATGCTTTCAGGTACACTGAAAAAGTTGTTTGCACATCTGGTTGCACGTATTCTTTACATTGATGCTTTTGGAGCCAAGCAGAGGTGGATTTTGTGCAACTATAACTAATTTTTACTCAAATCTTCTGCTGCAACATCAATAACTGACCCTTTAGTGTTGGCAGAATGACAGATTCATGGAGTTCAGAGGAGTAAAAGTACAAGATGTTGAGAAGCACTAAAGTTATATCCAATAAATGATCAACATTTGAATGTTTTTAAATCATTTTAGCTGCACATTAATAGTGGAAGGCAAAATATGACATATCATGTTGCATGAGCTTCATTAAATGTTTGGAGTTAATTAAAAAATTAATGACGTTGGTTTAAAGCTGCAGTTTTAACCCTTTCAGGATTTCAAACGAAATGACCGTGCTGTTTCTCTCCAGCTCATCCCTTCTCCGTCCTCACTGCTCCGGGCCACCTGACCCATCCGTCCATCTCTTTACCACAACTTCCCATCAGCCGCTGATCGCTGCTTTCATGGTTTTGTGGGAGAAAAACAAAAATCCTGTCCGGCGTCCTGTGGCCAGCATGCTGCTTCCTGGGAGACGCGGCATCAGGACCTGATGGGTTTTTACTCGCTGCTGTGAGACTGTTGAGCTGATCTGATGCCTTCCAGCAAACACAGGCGTTGGTATTTTTTAAGCAGGAGAAAACACAAATTTTTGTTTCATTTTCATCTTTTTCTTCACAGGAATTAAGTCGTCACCATCAGCATCTCACTTGGTGCAACATAAGATTTCAGGAAGACAGACCTCAGATTTTTTTCTTTATTTCACTCGGAGTCGAGCACATTTGCAGCTTTACTGTTGTTTGTTGTTGTATTGTTGTCAAAAATGGAAACTCTTATTTATTCGGAGCAGAAACTCTCTTCAAACAGCACTTTTAAATGTGTCTTCAAATGGAAAACAATCAGTGATTGTACATTGTAAATATAGTTTAATAAAAAGTATGAGAGCTGTTATCAGGCTGATGTAAAAAAGGGTGTTTTTATGTGTGTAGAGCAAAAAGAGCGCAGAGACTAAATCTAAAGGGACTGATTACCTGCACTAACCTGTCATCGAGAGCAACATCCAGCCTTCAAACGGCGCATCATCCCAAATTAAGATCCTATAACTAACAAGACTTGCTGTGAAAGCGACTGGAGGCGTTTTAGCCATCGATCAGCTCGTTTGGTGGCTTTCAGGAGCTTTTTGAGCACAGATTCCTCGCAGCTGTTACACTGATTGACGGCACTTAAAATGATGAGAAGAAAGGAGTTTTTAACGATGAATCAAGGAGGGTTTACTCTTTTGTTGCCGAAAGGTAATGAAGCAGGAATCCTCCAGACAAAATGGGCTCATTTTATAGTCAGAAAACCAGTTTAAAGCATATCTCGTGACCTGATTGTGTTTATTTCTGTCACATAAAGGCAACTTAAGACTCATAAATCAGGAAGAATATGATGCTTAAATAATTAGGCAGCTTTGGACACAAAATCAAGAAAAGGAGACATAAAATCACGTCTTTTAACTCTTTCTGATGAAACTAAATGATGGTTGCACCAATAAAAAAGCTTTTTATTTAAAATGTTTTGTTAGTTTGGGGAAAATAAGTGCAATGAAATCAACTGAGGTAACATTAATGCGGGTTATTAATAGTTATTAATAGTTTTGTTTTATTCCAACAACCCAATTAATTCTTAATGTTTGTTCAGAAGTTTTTTAGAGTTAATTTCAGTTTAAATCTAGTTTGTAGTTTTTTTGTTTTTTGCATCTTTCAACCTTTCACTTACACAGACAGTTCATTTGACTGTTTATTATTATTATTAAAGCTAAATAGTCCTCAGGTGTTTGTGTGCATGTGTGTCGATGCATGTGTGTGTGAGAGAGTCTCTGCACATCCGTTTTCTTCTTTTCTGGAGGTTTTTAGATTTGAAAATCTCAGTGAGAATTCGCCTTCTCGCCTATAAAACTCTCTTCTAATCAATCTCTTTCAATCAGCTGGAGCTGGGAGGAAACCTGTTGTGGAAAATAACGCCGCTCCTCGTGAAACCTCAGAACAAAAGCTGCCTTCCTGCTGAACAGAGATGATCATCAGCCTGAAACAGTTTGGGCCACCTGCCAGCACTACACTGTAAAAAATCTCTTCCCCTCTCAGATAGCAGCTCTCAAGGCGGCCTTTAAAATGTCTCCCTGCATGCACAAGCATCCCTAAATGTTTAATCCACCCCATCTTGTCATCCTGCCGTGCGTTGGTCTCGGTGACTGGCAGCTTCAAGTGGTTGCAGATGACCCCCCCCCCCATGCTAATGAATAGGCCGCTGATTGCAGGATTACAACGTCGGCTGCCTAATGAGTAGATACACTACGGTGCCCCTCGTCTCCAAGTATTCACATTTCTCTCCTCCACGCTGATGAGCTCGTCCCTGAACAACAAAACCTCGGTGGAAGATTCAAACATGAGCCATCTTCATCAGCCTCGAGTTTCTTATGATGGCAGGGTCTTGTAATTTTTTTTAGTTTTTTTTCTTTCCTCTGATTCACTTAACCATATTATTGTATTGAACCGCCATGCTCTGTATCTGCAAAGCAGGAGAGGGAGATAATAGCTCTGTTTCAATACTTTAATAACAGCAGCTGGGCGATAAATGTTGGATTGATGTTCAAATAAAAACTCTCACAACAAGTTGAAGAAGCAATAGTTGATTTTCCTATGAGATTGCCCCATTTGCAGATTACTGCACCAGGATTGAGTCAAAAACAACAGATCTCTCTGCGTGCTTCCTGACATTATTGTAGAACACTAAGAAAATAAGAAACCTGAAAGGAGATATCTAAGAATTTCAGAAATAACAGTTCTGTTGGTCTAAGAACGAGTCAAACTTTTCCAAAGACTATTAACAAATGTTTATTTTTTAAATTGTTGTATGTGTCTAGATTTCAAATAAATACTCAATAAATTTCAAATGATAATCCAGTCTGTAAGAGAAAGGGATGCTCTGAAGCTTCCTATTTCCTCTTTTAGGAACTTTCATCATCGAAAAATGCAGCGAAAAAGCAGAAAAAGTCAAATTCTCATGAGGGGTTAAGGCTTAAACATAGAAAAGGCTGTGAATATTAGCAGTTGGCTGTGGATCACTCTTTGCACAACCTCAGAAATTATTTACATTTTATTACAGATTTCATCACTGCAGCCAAAAATAGTTGGAAAATATCTTTTCTGTTTGGACTTCTTTAAGTTATCCTGAAAAACAAAACAAATTGTGACAGTAAAGATAATATTTAGGTTATAAAATAGCATTTGTATTGCTGCTGTACATTTCTGATCGTCATTGAGACTAGGCGGTTTTGGCTTGCTTTTAGCACCCCCTAGTGTCCGTTTATTAGAACCAAAAGCTAAACTTGTCTCCATGCTGTGTGTTTGTCTTTTAAACACCTTAATCTGAAATGTCTCCCGAGCCTTCATTAGTGTCTACAGGTATGGTGTGTCACTCAATAAAACAAATCAGCTGTGTTCATGATCTTAAACATGCAGGAAACCTGCTGGAACCAGACTGCAGAGCCAAGTATGTCAGCCCTATTTTTTTAAGTCAACAGACCGGATTGGCACTCTCACGGTGCAAATGCAGTATTCTGGACACAGAGTGCAGTGGGAGTCTGAGGGTGTTTCTCAATGTCAAGGCGCCTGTGTGGGACACGGTCCTTCGTTGGTCAAAGAAAACGGTTAAATGGAACAGACTTGCATCACGTGACCGCAGCTTCCACAGCAGTCACGTCACGTGACACGGGAGATAACGTTATATGTTATACGTATTAGTTTCAATATAAATATATAACGAGACTTTTACTTTTTAAATGGTGTATATGTTTATTAAATTAAATATATAAGTGAGTTACTACCCGCTAGCCACCGAAGCTGCACTAACCAACCATAGATAACTTCTTTGGATCTAAAAAAAACATTTTAAATTAGTCGACTTACTTTTAAACTTGAAAATTGTCCCCGAAGTAGCTGCCGGCTTCTGATCCGCCGTCCTTTTGAAAATACCGCGGTGTGTTCTGGGTAATTTTTGACCAAGGCTAGGCTACAAGACACCTCCCGTGTATCCTCGCTCAGCTAGCTAAACGGCTAACAAACAGAGAACACACGCCGCGTTAGAACATGAACATTTGAACACGTCTTGGCGGCTCCCGATGACGTATCTCCTAGGCAACCGGGGCAGGGCCAAGACATCAAGGCAAGGCTCCTTGGCATTGAGAAACACCATTTCATTAACCCTGTAAATGGTCATTTTAGCACATATTGGCTTAAGAAAATGATTTAAAAATATGAAAAAGTTCCAAAGTATTCCTTTAAAACAGGTATCGAAGGCATGTGAGCCTTCTGCGTCAAGGAATTTTGTGCTGAAGAAGTTGGTCACATTTTAATAACTATTATGGATGAGAAAAAAATGAATACAAGAACTAACAAAAAATACATAAAAGGGGACTTTTTTTTTACAGTAAAACATTGTTTCATCATTATTGTTATTTTGCTTTTATTTTATTTACATCTGGCCCAAACCTTCAACGAAAGATGGGTTTTTGTCACTGAAAAAAGCCAAAATTTCTTTTTAAAGAGAGAAGATAGAAAACGATAGACACACACACAGACACACACACACACACACACACACACACACACACACACACACACCGCTCAGTCAGAGGAGCAAACAGAGAGCCATCAGCACGCTGCTGGGTTTCTCTCCAGCTTGTTCATCAGAAATAAAGAAGATGCTTTATTTTTTGAAAGAGGCAATCAGCTCTGAGTCCTATTGTTTCATATTGGCGCATGACTGGTTGAGCCAGCTGGAGGCGTGGCCAACACTCAGCTGCAGACCAGTGCAGTGCAGCCATGCGACAGGGAACCGGCAACACCACAGGGGACCTCTTAGCTAACAGCAAGGCTGATTCAAATTCAGTGTAGTGCAGAGTTTTAACCTGAAGAGGGCGCAATAATGACATTTTCACTCTGAATTTTTACACTTTAAATACGATGCACTAAAATGCTAAAATAGTGATTGCATGTCTGTAGCACTACTAGACACTCATCTATACAGTTTCCATCCATCCATCCATTTTCATCCGCTTATCCGGAGTCGGGTCGCGGGGACAGTAGCCTAAGGCGAGAGGCCCAGACTTCCCTCTCCCCAGCCCAGGGTCAGCTCCTCCGGGGGAATCCCAAGGCGTTCCCTGGCCAGGTGAGAGACATAAAAAAGACCCGATTGGACTCTTTCTTCAGCTTGACAGCATCCCTACCCGCGGTGTCCACCAGCGGGTTCGGGGGTTGTCACCACGACAGGCACCAACAGGATCCTGCGACCACAGCTCCGGTCGGCCGCCTCAACAATGGAGCATGGAACAGGGTCCATTCAGACTCAATGTCCCCCGCCTACCCGGGAACATTTTGGAAATTCTGTCGGAGGTGGGAATTGAAGCTCCTTCTGACAGGAGACTCTGCCAGACGTTCCCAGCAGACCCTCGCGATACGTTTGGGCCTGCCTGGTCTGTCCGGCATCCTCCCCCCACCATCTGAGCCAACTCACCACCAGGTAGTGGTCAGTTGACAGCTCCGCCCCTCTCTTCACCCGAGTGTCCAAGACATGCGGCCGCAGGTCAGATGAAACAACAACAAAGTCGATCATCGAGCCAAAAAGGTGACTTGCTCTTTAAATAAATTTTAAAAATCTAAATTTTGTGGCACCACTTTTAGAACGTAAGAATTTATTGACTTTCCTCTCGATCTTAAAATCTGAAAAAATAAATACACTATTAGAGTTTTCCATGTCTCCATCCAACAGCAGCAGCTCTCGTTCGGTAAACCTGTGATGATGCGATGTCATCATCAGCTGGTTGGTTTGTTGTTTGTTTCTCAAAATTAGACTGAGCTATTTTAGATTTGAGAGCTGGACCACGTAAAGTCAAAACAAGTGAACATTTTTAGATTAAAGGTCGACGTTTGGGGCAAACTGCACCACACCGGACTTACTTTGTGGCTTTGTGTTTGGTTAAGATGTGGATATGTCCCAGACCTTCCATTTATCTCTAACCATAAAAGTTCTGCACAACCAGGTTCAAGTTTCCAAACAAAACCCAGCAACATGAACACGTTTGCTCCTGGAATGTGGGCTGGTAGCGTAACCTACAGAAACTCTGAAAAAATACACAACACAAAATCTTTTTATTTATTTTTTGTTCGTGGGTAAACAATTACTCTTACAGTAGCAGTGAGAAAGAGCGAGGAAAGGACTGAAACGTATGATTCACTTGACCCGGGCTGACAGCCAGCCGTGCACTATGTAAAAATAAACACAGAGCTCCGCGGCAGCTTCCCAGAATGGGTTTATTTCTTGAGGACGGCAACGACTTTGAAATATTGCAGAAACTGAGACAAGATCTAAATCACTTTCCTGATGCGTGTTGAAAGAAAAGAGTGCAGCAAAACAGTGGAGCAGATAATGGAGAAGCAGAGAGTTTAAAAACTGAGATTTTAGAGGGAATTAACCAAACCTGTTGGCTGGTTATGAAAACTAATTCATTTCTTTTTGTAAGAAAAAGTACTGAAATGGAAAATGATCTGAAAGCAAATAAAACATTCAACAGAGAGGGATTAATCCTCCTCATAAAAAACAGTAAATGTCATCAAAAGTCTCGTGTTTGGTCTCACTCATCTATTTTCATAATCAAATTTAAAAGGACATTAAGTGATGCTCTGTCAGTTATTTACAGTGAATGGAAACACACACACACACACACACACACACACACACACACACACACACACACACACACACACACACACACACACACGTGTACGTTTTCCATCTGATAATCCATTAAGTATTTTGAACTGTACTTATGTCAAAACTACTTGTGTATTTTTCTGAGTATGTGTGTAGTATGTTTTTACGCCCACCAGGTGGCAGTGCTTCTCTGCTGAGTCCATTCAAGTCCCCTCAGATGTAAACGTAGCCATCTCCACTCCTCCAGGTCTACCATCCTCCATGTTCATTTACGTGATTCCTGCTCCAGCACACCTGGATCAAATGGTTCAATCACCCTTTCACCATGCTGAGTTCTGCAGAAGCCTGTTCATCACTCCTTCACTTAAATCAGGTGTGCTCATTTGTGTGGTGGCTCTCAGGACTGGAGGTGGTGATCGTTGTGCTGGAATAAAGATTTCTATATTATGTTATGACTTGTTAAACCACAGATGATTGGGAGTAGACTCATTAGCTTACAGTTTCCTAAAGGACCCCAGCCCTGCATGTTTCTAACGTTTTTGACTTCAACACGCCAGAAATGAATCACTAGGTTATAACTGCAACAAACCAAACAGGAATTTCTATCCAGCATGGTGTGGTGAAGCCAGGAAATGACTAAAATGCCCAGGACTTTGGCTCTCGGGGACTGGGATCGGACCTGAGAGGTAAACAGAAACCCCGCCACCAAACTCAACACCTCTGAGAAACTTCTCACCGTCAAACTGCTTTGTGATTAAACGTGAAGCACAAAGAGGCTGAAACCCCCCACAGACAAAACGACTGCATGGAGCACTTTACCTGAAACATGACCAAGTTTCAGGTGAGTAACAAAGACTTCTGGCTGGATTAAAACTTGCTGGACTGTGAGATCTTTGCCTGCCTGTTTGAGTTTATTACAACAACATTTCACGTCTTTAACCTGCAGAGGTGCAACATTTAGATGTTTCTCAGTGGGTTTAAAGGGTTTTAGAGCACAAAAAACCTCTGAGAAACCCACTCTTGCAGCAGGCTGTTATGCGACACTGCTGCTTACGTTTAGCCGTTTCAGCTTTCTGACAGTCTTCGTTTTCTGAGTGTCCGAGTTTCACTTTCAGCCCAGAGGACAAACTTTAAACCACGCCTCTCTGCATCTGCTGTTAGGTGGTTTAATACAATAAAATTATGAATGTAAACTATGACTGCAACAAAAAATATTCTCCCAAAGAGTTTTGAAAAGATGCATCATTTCAGTTCATGAGACATTAATGAAAAATTATCCTCAGTTTGTTATATTCAACGTTAAAATATGGAAGCAACTGGAAAAAACCTCCTGCTTTACTTAAAGCAGTCATCAGCCTATGTGAAAATGCAAAAACCACATTTTTAAATAAGAATAAAGCACTCAAAAGAGCAGAGCTACTTTTATTGTTCTGATTAAAGTAAGACTTGTTGAAAAGCCAAAGATCCGGTCAATGCATAAAACTCGCTCATGGAAGCAAACTGAATCAAAACTAGTTTCAAGAGCTGTTTGTGACTGGAAGAAAATTATTTGTAAACAACATTTTTGGAACAGAATTTCCAGTGTTTAGACTAAACGGGAGGAAAAAACAACTTCTTGAATGCCATCAGTGATCTTTGGATGTCGGAGTCAGCTGTGTTTCATCTGTTTCACTCATTTTTTTGTGTCTTCAATCTGCTCCACCTCACTGGACTCGTCCACCACTTTTCCGTTGATCATCGTCTGCGTGACCACTTTAACAATCTTCCTGGTTCGTACCTCTGGGTCTTCTGGAGGAGGAAACACGGGTGAGTCATGGCGAGCTGATATCTACTGGAACGAAACTCTTAACGTATCATTAGCAGGGTAAAAACGCAGCTGCTGTGATTCAGGTCACTGAAATCTAAAGTCTGGATTGTTAAAAAAAAAGAAGAAGAAGCAGGACGGAGAACAAAGTAGTTTGTCTGGTGCTTTTGTCTCCGTTTGATCTGGTTTCTATCATGTAAAAAGTGTAAAAAACAAATAACTCAGAGCAACATTCAGCTGTAAAGTCAAGCTTAATGTGGTTTAATGTGTGTTTGAAAAAGCAGCAGGATGATCACATTCTACCTCTCCACAAACTCTCGTTTGTACAAAAAATACAAGTTATTTAAATATCCTACATGTACAGTACTTACATGGTATCATCGTAAAAATATTAGAAAGCACAAACATCTGTTGAATAAGAATAAAACTTACTTTTAGGAGGTGGGGGTGTTTCTTTCACCCTGAAAAACAAATAAAATCAGTAGAATTCCATAAAAAATGGACCAGAAGTTATGTTCTGACTTTTTAAATGAGTATTTCATGACTTCTAAATGCCTTGAGCTTTGATTTCCAGCCTAAACAGGGAACTCTAGGAGTGTAGTCATTAGTTGTAGAATAATTTAGTCTAATAAATGCTCAAAGGTGGACTCTGTCATGTTTATAAAGATGAAAAATGGTTGTTTTCTCTTTTTTTCCCTTTCAATTCAGTTTATTAAGCACCAAATCACGAGTCGTCTCAAGACACTTCACAAAATAAAATGTTCCAATTGAGTTCAGTTCATTATACCAAATAGTTAAAAGTTTCCTATATAAGGAACCCAGCAGATTGCATCAAGTCACCGACTAGTGAGACGTGTCAGCAGTTCCGGTGCTAAGGAAGCATGCAGCGACAGTGAGGAAAACATTATCTTATCCCAAGGCTCTTTGGGTGGACGACGCTTCTGCTTTTTTTCTGGAAACTGGAAATGATTAAAAAATGGACCTGGTCAGTTGGTCTCTCAATGCGACTGACAAGATTTTTTCAACGAAGAGAACAGGAGAAGGGGCTCCCGGTTGCCCCTCTGGGACAGAGCTAGCTGGTTATATCATGGACTCCTGGAAACAGCGGAACCTTATCTGCCTCTCTCAGCTGTCTGTAGAGGATTCTGAAGACGTCTGGATATCCGTGGTGTTGGGGTCAGGTTTCCTGCTGTTTGGCCTGAGCGGTTGCCTGGCTTACTGGAAAATTAATGAGCTGTCGAGGAATATTGGCTTAATCCCGGATATCAGGGATGGATTACATCGTGCTGTGAACGCACAAACTCATATAATTGTCGAGATGAGTCGTAAGCTTGGAACTTTGGCTGAGATTCAGACTCTGGCACAGAAGGTAGATTCGATCAAGGAGCGAGTTGATGGGACAGCACGGTTGGGAATGGATTAATTTACGCCATTATTGGATCTAGAGCAGAGGTGTCAAACTTATTTTAGCTCAGGGGCCACATCGAGGGAAATCTAGTCCCAAGTGGGCCGGACCGGTAAATTAAAAACAACTTCAGATTGTTTTCTTTGTTTTAATACAATCAATATAAAACAAGGCTGGAGCCTGAGGACAGTGTCTCCAAAATAGTACAAGTACAACACCTGAAGTGTACTTGAAAATTTGAAAAAAAAAAAAATAAAACATTCCTTAGTGATTCAAAGAGCTTATAGATCATGTGGGTAGATCAGTTTAATGCAGCACTTGAAGTATATTTGACTCATTTTACTTTACATATTTTAGCTTTCACCAGAACATCAATACCAGAAGTCACATCCTGAGTGGCGGCCAACTTCAGGATGGGATTCAAGTTCTTGTGTGTGAGCCTTGAGCGCAGTTTTGTATTATTTATACTCACTACAGAGAAAACTTGCTCACAAAGATAAGTTTATTTTCACTCTACATTGTAAAGTATGAAAATAAAGTTTACACAACCATCTCGCGGGCCGGATTTAACCTACTTGCGGGCCGGATCCGGCCCGTGGGCCATATGTTTGACACCCCTGGTCTAGAGGGATTGGAGGCCAACAGAACTTTAAGACAGAAAGGAAATCATCTCTGTCTGGCCCCCAAACAAGTTCTTATCTTAATCTGGTGCCCTTGAGCCTGTGAGGCTGTAGTGAAAACTCCCCCCTCAGAAGAAATGTGGAATGCTGCCGTCGCCATGGCAACTCTGTCTCCCTATCCCAGCCTGTGCGGGACTGAGACCGGTGAAGGCTGCTGAATCGTTCCAGGACTCACTGTACTCTCTAAACCCAACGACCCCCGCCCCGTCCAGACGGAGGTGACGAGCGCCGCTTATCGTGGCTGCATGCACTGATGTGTGGATAGTCCCCAACCCTATCACCCCACCTAGTGGACACTTATGTTGTGTGATGTCTGAAGTTTGTAGCATTTCTGTCTGAGGTGGTTTTTGCAGAGCAAAGCTGCCCTCCCTGTGGAGGGTAACTCTGAAGTGCCTTTTTTCCCTCCACCTGAACCAATCCTCATGTAACCCTCGATCTCTATTAAGGTAGCGCGACTCGGGTTGCGAATGACCACAGTCACCATTTCTTGTCATGTGTCGTGCCCATGTCTGTCTGATCTCAGAATTGTGTGTACTGAAACTCTAATTTCCCTCTGGGATTAATAAAGTATCTTTGAATTGAATTACAAAGTTAATCTCAAGAAAAACATCTAATTTCCTGTAAGCTGTTCCTTTCTTCTAAAAGGGAAAAGTTAGAAATGCTCAAGCTGCACTCCTGCAGGCTTGAACCCTAACCCACCAGCAGAAACACCCTTCCTTACATTTCCTCCCCTTCCAGCAGCCTCCTGTAGGTCGCGATCTCCATCTCCAGGTTCTGCTTGATGCGCAGAAGCTGCTCGTAGTCGGTTTTGTTGCGCTGCATGTCCAAACGCAGCTGGGACAGCTCATCCTCCAGCTGCGTCAGCGTGGCCTGAAGACGGTCCATCTCAACAGAGTATTTGTGTCCAGTTTCTCCCAGGTTTCCCTCCAACACGTTCACCTGGTGACATCAATAATAATGTAGCCACAGGACGTGTGCGTTTGAGGTGACTGATGTGGTGGTTTAGTTTGAGAAAAGCTGCTTAATAATGGTTGCTAATGCAGCAGTGATTGATCAAATTATTGAATGATCTCCTTTTGTACATACAGGTGCTGGCCAGTAAATTAGAATATCATCAAAAGGTTGAAAATATTTCAGTAATTCCATTCAAAACGTGAAACTTGTACATTATATTCATGCAATGCACACAGACCAATGTATTTCCGATGTTTATTACGTTTAATTTTGATATTTATAGGTGACAACCAATGAAAACATCAAATCTGGTATCTCAGAAAATTAGAATATTCTAAAGGCCAATGAAAAAATGTTTGTTTCTCTAATGTTGGCCAACTGAAAAGAATGAACATGAAAAGAATGTGCATGTATAGCACTCAATACTTAGTCGGGGCTCCTTTTGCCTCAATAACTGCAGTAATGCGGCGTGGCATGGACTCGATCAGTCTGTGGCACTGCTCAGGTGTTATGAGAGCCCAGGTTGCTCTGATAGTCGTCTTCAGCTCCTCTGCATTGTTGGGTCTAGCGTATTGCATCCTCCGCTTCACAATACCCCATAGATTTTCTATGGGGTTAAGGTCAGGCGAGTTTGCTGGCCAATCAAGGACAGGGATACCATGGTCCTTGAACCAGGTGCTGGTGGTTTTGGCACTGTGTGCAGGTGCCAAGTCCTGTTGAAAGGTGAAGTCTGCATCCCCATAAAGTTGGTCAGCAGCAGGAAGCATGAAGTGCTCTAAAACTTCCTGGTAGACGGCTGCATTGACCCTGGACCTCAGGAAACAGAGTGGGCCAACACCGGCAGATGACATGGCACCCCACACCATCACTGACGGTGGAAACTTTACACTGGACCTCATGCAACGTGGATTCTGTGCTTCTCCGCTCTTCCTCCAGACTCTGGGTCCTTGATTTCCAAAGGAAATGCAGAACTTGCTTTCATCAGAAAACATAACTTTGGACCACTCAGCATCAGTCCAGTCCTTTTTGTCCTTGGCCCAGGCGAGACGCTTCTTGCGCTGTTTCTTGTTCAAGAGTGGCTTGACACACGGAATGCGACACCTGAATCCCATGTCTTTCATGAGTCTCCTCGTGGTGGTTCTTGAAGCGCTGACTCCAGCTGCAGTCCACTCTTTGTGGATCTCCCCCACATTTTTGAATGGGTTTGTCGTCACAATTCTCTGCAGGGTGCGGTTATCCCTAGAGCTTGTACACTTTTTTCTACCACATTTTTTCCGTCCCTTCGCCTGTCTGTTAATGTGCTTGGACACAGAGCTCTGCGAACAGCCAGCTTCTTTAGCAATCACCTTTTGTGTCTTGCCCTCCTTGTGCAAGGTGTCAATGATTGTCTTTTGGACAGCTGTTAAGTCAGAAGTCTTCCCCATGATTGTGGTGCCTTCAAAACAAGACTGAGGGACCTTTTAAAGGCCTTTGCAGGTGTTTTGAGTAAATCAGCTGATTAGAGTGGCAGCAGGTGTCTTCTATATTCAGCCTTTTCAGAATATTCTAATTTTTTGAGATACCAAATTTGGAGTTTTCATTAGTTGTCACTTATGAATATCAAATTTAAATGTAATGAACATTGGAAATACATTGGTCTGTGTGCATTGCATGAATATAATGTACAAGTTTCACGTTTTGAATGGAATTACTGAAATATTTTCAACCTTTTGATGATATTCTAATTTACTGGCCAGCACCTGTACAACATCTGTTACTGTAGCAGGATTTGAAACTTCCAAGTTCAGAAGTTAGCTGTGATTTGATGCAGATTTCAAAAGGTGTGCAGCCAATGCAGCCCAGGCTGCTCCTTTAACATAACATCAGAGAAGGTAAGCACTGATGCAAGTCTGTTCACACACAACACAAAAGGTGTGAAACATCAAGCTAACCTCTTTTTTTTTTTTAGTCTTGCATTATAAGCGGACTTGTTTGAGCTCAACATCTGTACGTTCAGGTCTATCATGCTGTGCAAACACGTTCTGGACTTTGAGCTTCTGCAGCGTGCTGTTTGATCTTTGCTCACATGACACGCGGACAAAAGCCCGGCTACCTTCTGACTAAATATAGGAGTTTAGGGAAGCTGCTGTTTTCCAGCTGTCCTGACATGTCCTCACCTCAGAGGGCGAGGTGAGAACATGGATCAGCTCTACAGCTATTATTAATATTAATAATCCACATAGAAATATTGAGATGTGAACATCCAAGCCATATGCAACACGTTACCTGTCGCCGAAGACTGTCGAGTTCAACCTCCAGAGCCTGCAAGAAGCGTTTCCTCTCGCTGAGCTCACCCTGAGCACAGCGAAGCGCCTCATTGCTTTCTTTAACCTCCGACTGAACTGCTTCTAACTGAACACACATCAGATTAACATCCTGCATCCGATCAAGTGCTTATTCAGGAATGTAGCTTTAAAACGCGCTAATAAGAGCTGATTCACGCTGACCTTCTTGAGGTACCAGGTTTCCGCCTCCTCCTTGTTCTTGCGAGCGATGCCCTCATACTGGACCCTCAGTTCAGCCATGATGGCCCCCAGGTCGTGCCCCTGGGGCGCCTCCACCTCCACGCTCACCTGCTCGCTGGCTAGGCGGGCCTTCAGGGCGCTCATCTCCTGCAACAATCGGAGACGGGGAAGTTCTCCTGAAGCAGTGATTAATCTAAACATCGTGTCTGTCTCCTCCAGCGTGATGACTGTAGTTTGCAGTGATACGCGGTTATCATCTAAACAATGGCCCCCTGATTTCAGACAAGGACCATAACTGGCCCTTCAAGTTTGAGATTTTCTCAGCAGCAGAACAGGTTCACTTGTGTCTTTAAAGTGTAAAAATACAACAGTGTGAATCACATCATTAGTTCTATTTGCTGAAAATTAGCTGTTTTTGTGCATGATGGACACAACCTGCATTGCATTTTATTGATTTAAGATTTCAGCTCTTTTAAGATCTAATTTCCTCAGTTTTGTGTATTTTAATCAAATTTGTCTGCAACTTTAGATCGATGTTGTTCCTTCCCACGTGAGCCTGGAGCAGCTGATCAGTTTCATTTGAAGATTGCGTCCGTGTACTGAGTAAACTGTACAATCAAATGATCATTAAGTCTGAGGTTACACCCTGGACGCCACACCTGACTGTCTAAACACTCAAAGTGTCTGCAGCTGAGCCGGTTCATGCGTCGTGCCGTCTGTGGGCTTGAGATGAAGTGTGTGTGTGGGCACGGAGAATCATCGTGTTTCACCTGAGACCTGACAGGGACAGCAAACACAGGCTTCATGCCAGCGGGTGGTGATCCAGACTTAACTAGTCCTACAAACGGGCAGGAAACTGGTTTCCTATTAAAAACAGCATTAAATGTATTTTTATTATTATTTATATTTGGATTTATTTTATAAATTCTGAATACACCTGTCAGAAAATAAAGTTGGTTATTTATTCAAATGTGAGATATGTTTCTAAATCCCACCTTTTAATTAGTGGAAACTCTTTGCTTCACTCCACAGACAGACGTTAGAAACGCATTTAAACCCTAAAAGTCTCCGACTCCATTCCCACTGAGACCGGAACGTGAGTGTGGCTCTGATCTTGGCAGGAATCTCACCTCGTCGTGGTTCTTCTTGAGGTAGTACAGCTCCTCCTTCAAGCTGTCCAGGTCTCCTCTCAGAGTGGCGATGATCTGGTCGTGGTCTGACTTTGCCCTCCTCAGAGCCTGGCAGTCCCTCTCCACCGACTGGCACAGCGTGGCCTCCGCTTCCCATCTGCAGGCAGCAACGTGGTGAGAACCCGGCAGACAACAATAAAACGTTAAAAGCAGCAAACTGAATGTTCTTCACTTCATGTCAGTGAGGTAATCTGAAACACTTTGATTTTACAAAACATTAACTTAATGCAAAGTAATTTTTTCACTTTTACATCAAAACATCACGCATTGATTTCTGAAATTTTGCTAAAAATGACTATGATCCGATCTGAGATCGGACTAAAGAGTCACTTGTGCAGAAGCGTGCTGCTCCATCACTTGGTCCCTGTCCACCTCTCCTGCCAGCTCGCGGTGAAAACACCAGCAGTGGGTGTTCTGTAACTCCATGTTTGCCTCAGGTTTAGTTTGCCAACTGTTCAGAGGTGAGGGACCCGAATAATCCATCACATCCTGCTCTGACGACTGATTCGGCTGTCGGCGTGTGAGCACCGTCTTATTTCACACGCCTGACAGAAAGGCCGTTTATTCACATTGCTTTGCAGTCTGGCGCTCTTGTGTGAACGCAGCAAGGGAAAATAAAGGAACCTCTGTGTGATACCCACTTGACCCGAAAATCATCAGCAGCCAGTTTGGCGTTATCAATCTCCAGCATGACCCGAGCATTCTCCAGGGTTCTTTTCCTCACCTGTGCAGGACAGCATGCATGTGCACGTTATAAAAAGCCAGTTCTATCTGGTTTTCCTTTACCTAAAAGAAGAGCTTAACTGCAGTTCGGATCACTGACCTCTTGTCCAATGGCATGCGCCTGAGCCATCATCCCCTCGATGTCATGCCCCTTTGGAGTTTTCTCCATCATTAGCTGCTTGATCTTCAGCTCCAGCTCAGTGTTGGACCTCTCCAGTGTCCGCACCTTGTCCAGGTAGTTGGCCAGCCGGTCGTTCAGACACTGCATCGTCTCCTTCTCGCTGGCGCCAAGGCCATTGAGGGAGAGGCTGGAGCCCAGTGTGTTGAGGCCGTTTCCCACAGAGAGGGAACGGGACAGAGACACAGTGCTGATGGTGGACAGGGGAGAGACGGAGGACTTGGCTCTAATGGTGCGTCCACTGTCCCTAACAGACATGCTGGAGAAGGAGGGCTGTCGCAACGAGATGCTGCGCACGGAGAGGGTAGAGGCCATTGTGCAAACTGCAGGAAAATCAGTTTTCATTTAGCATCAAAGCACGAAGCTGCAAATTACAAATACTTTTATGATTTTTAAAACCCTCTCATCTCGGAAGTTGCTGAGGATGTTTTGCACATGTTCTTCTGTTATAACTGTAAGGGTTAGGGTCATTTTCTCCGTTGTATTTCTGTAATGTTGCCACGGATCGGAGATCTCTACGTAGACCAGTCCAGCTTACCAACTCTAGCATTCACTCCAGTTCATATTTATTTGTATCCTGCAAATAATTGTGGTCAATAGTTTTTATTTTACCAAGGTTTATATACTCCCTCTAATAACCTACTAGTCTGTTTACACGGTTTACTTTTTAACGTGTTAAATTCAGTTGCATCTTCAGTATTTTTGCATGTTTCCTGTTAAATTTGCAGCCTCTTTTTCTTGATTCTTCTTCTTTGCTCCTGTTGTGAATCTGCTTTGCTGCTGTGACACCAACATGTCCCCACTGAGGGACAATAAATGGATCATTTATTATACTCTGTTATCATTTTATCATTTTTAACTATAAAGACAGCTCTGCTGACCTGAAAACACTAAATTTGCTTCCCACCTCTCCTAAAACGGCACATAGAACCTCTGAGAACGGAGATGGTTCTCCTGAAATAAATGAATAAAATTTAAGCCTTCATGCAAACATCTGGCTGTAAATGTTATGTTGTCATCATCGCTGTGGGAAAAGACGATGACCAAAGCTCCCTTGTGTATTTATTTCTCTGAGAACAGGACGGAGAGGTCAAAGCAGTACTTACATGTGGCTCAGGTCTTCAGGAGGTCTTCTCTGGCTCTGCTCCTGCTGGGTTCCCCCTGTTGAGGGCGAGAGTGACTTTTGTTGCTGCATCGGCTTTCACAGGTGAGTCCTGCAGAGGTGGGGCGGCCTTTGGGAGGGGACTCTGGTGTCCAATCCGTACAACAAGGAAGCAACACGACACCTTGCAGACTACCTGCTCAAACCTAGATTCAAAGTGTAAATATTGGCAAGGAGGCTGGATTAGTTTACTTAAATCTAACTAGAAGTAAAACTAAAGAAAAGACTGTCTTGAGTGTCAAATTTAACCCCGCATCTCAAAGCAATCAGAAAAAAGGTCCAAATTTTTCCTCTCACTGGCTCAGTGAAACTGGTGTGGTTTGCATGCTGCAGACCCTGGCTGGCTCTGCAGTGCACTGTGGGAGGATACGATACCCTCGGAGTGATGTGAGATGTGGCCCAGCGGACTGGAAGCATGGAACAATGCAGAGACGGGGTGAAAGGAAAGCAAAACCCCTGAGAAATGCACAGAAAGCACAGGGCGTAGCTGGACGGGGCCGGACTGGAAACCTGACTGGTTTTCTCACACACGCTGTTCCTGTACTGCTTTACGAGCACGTCCTTAGTTCCCCCGAGCATTGTTATTTTTCTGGATGGATCGGATCACTCAGTGGCTCTGACCTGGTTTAGGTTGTTTTAAATGCTGCGCCTCACTCCACCCAGCTCCACCCTGATGGTTTGGTGTGTGAATTTCCTTTTGTTCCAGTTGGGACACCGATAACACCAGCTTATCGGCCTTTTAGAGCAGGCAAACACATCAAGACTTTTAATTCAGTGAAATTTAGTCAGACTAAAAAGTTTGTTTATGTCTTTGTGTTTTTTTAGTGGAAAGTCTGCTCCTAGATAAAAATACCAAAGGATGGAAAGATTTGTTGTCCCACTAAATGTTATTTAATATTTTTGCAACGTTTTGCCACATTTGAACATTTTATGCCTTTCCTTTTTGCTGTTTTAATCAAAATTTGCCACAATATGTCTGTAAAAATGGGATATTCTGCAAATCCAAACGTTTCTAAGAGGTGAAAAAGGTCAGCCAGCAGTTTGGGCAGCACCACATGAGTGTGAAAATTCATACATCACTCCAGTGTGAAAACACACATTGCCCTAGTGGTATTGCTAAGTTAAACTGCAGCCTTTAAAAACACACTGATTTTGTCACCATGAAGAAGAAACTAGTAAAGACTAAAAATTAAGAGAATGTCGGTTTCTGAAGTGTCCAGTCAGGACAGAGGACATTTGTAGTTTTGGGTAGGAGGCAGCAAATGTTTTAGAAAAGAAAAGAAGTGTCCACAGGCAGTGCTGTATTAAAAATACAACAAAACACCAATTTTACATTCACAATAATTATATCTGTCAAAAGAAACGAGTGAAGGAAATCAGTGGATTGAAACAAGCTAAATCTTCATCTGGTTTTATGTTTGGAGCTCATTGAGCAGGGCAACTGTCAGGGCTGAATTTTAACGACTTGGCGAACAGCGACCTCTCATGGTGGAAGATAAACATAAATTAAATATATAGAAATTAAATAACTATATACTTTAAACGAATGACAAATAAAATACAAAATGAAAAAAATATATATATTATAAATACATCAAATAAAAGAATATATTAAATACAAACGTACATATCTCTAAAGGTCGGGTGGTTTTACATATTTTTTCTTCATCTTTACCATTTTTTTTATCTTTTGCTTGGAAATGACATGTTTTTAACGATATGTTTTTTTCTTCATATTTAGGTTAATTTGGTCATGTTTGCAGTGACTCGTACCTTAACTGAAAAATAATAACGTCAGAGGGAAATTAAGTAAATTATCAAGTAAATGAATAACTCGTAAAAACCGTTTTATGTTTAAATTTCCATCAAAGTTGATTGTCCGACTGCGCATGCGTGCTACCGAACCGTGCTGTGTTCATAGACGATCTTTGTTAGGTCTGGTACCGGATGTCGGCGATAGCTCTCCAAAAGACGTGATTTCATTATGTAAGTTTGATGTTCATCTACGTAGAAAAAGAATGAACGTTTGGTTGGTTGTTTTTTAATAAATTAATATAAATTAAAGCAGCAGAAAAGAATATTTAAGCTATGTGAGGAGAGGGTAATGCTAGTCTACAGAAATGAGCTAGCTAAAGCCAATTGTGGTAAATGCTAACAGACTGGCCATGCTAAATTTGGTGTTTTGGTTTATGATAATAAAAATACTAACAAACCTATAGTAACGCTTTACTTGAGATCCTAATTTGAGTGTTTAACCTCTTTTTTGTTCTAGGGGTGAAAGGAACAGCAGTCCAACAACTGGACTCTTCCCTGCTGTTGGGTATAAAGCTCTGGATTATGTCTTTGAGGTAGGGCTGCTGGATTGTGGCAAAAACAATAATCACGATCGTTGTGACTGAAGTTGAGATCTCGATTATTTAAGACGATTTTTCAATTTATGCTGATTTTATTTGTTTTTATTCAGTCATACAATTAATCAGGGCACAATCAGGACAAAAATAAGAAACAAGATGATCACTAAAATAACTCCTGATTCCCAGTATAAAAAGACCAATATACTTATAGCTCATAGTTTATGACCCAAGGGCTATAGACCTTGGTTTAACTCATTTAAGTCTAACCAGTACAGACCCAAATACCAATATCTTGCAAATACTGACAGCAAGAATTATACAGTGGCATTTATAACAAATACATGCAAATAAATTGATGTTCACAAAATGTTGCATAACATTTATTGAGTCGTGTCAAGGTGCTGTAGGAGCGTGCACTAGCACTGTGTCCTTAGAGAGATTAATTATTTATCAGCATGAGGAACTTATTTCTACCTTATTTATAAACTATTTATTTACAAGTCCATCAGTTAATGTAATAATTGTCCCAACCACAGCTGCACCCCCCAACCCGGTCTCACAGCAATCAGGGGCAAGCTGCACGTGTGTTTAGCGCATCGCAGGCGCACATTTAGCCGTTTTTAGTGGCTCAGGAGTCCGCAGGTGCAGTGTGTGTCACTCACTCTGGTTACTCCAACAGGGAGCCGTGTCTTTAGCGACTGACACATCACTACATCATTCCCTTTCCTAATGTCCTGAAGAACGGTCCGGAGCGCAGGCGGAGTGTTTAGCTAACCTGCAGGAAACGTCGACGACAGTTATCCAGAAAGTAGCTAACTCTATGTGCCTGGTGGGTGGGACGATGCAACAGAGTGAAACAAGAGGATGTCACATTCATTCTCCAGTGGAATTCGGAGATCATTAGAAAGACAACGGTAGAACCCGCCCCACAACCGAGAGCCGTCAATGGAGCGTGGCCAGACTAAATAATACATTTATTTAGTCTGGCTTACCAGGCTAGTCAAAGTTGGCAACACTGTGGGAGGAGCGCTTCATTTGCAACTCAGGGCAGCGCAAGGGGGAGGAGCAAATAATCGGCTTGTTTTGTTTGTATAATCGTTCAAAACTCAGATCGTAATTGTGATTAAAATTCGATTAATTGAGCAGCCCTACTTTGAGGTGAGTTTTTATTTTCACCAGATGGGAGAGTGACCATATTTCCATTTCCAAATAAGAGGGCAGATCAGTGGCTACCGATCACGTCACATTCACCCTATGGCAAAAGCACACAAACCAGTTGGGACCGGACCCATTGTTTTCCAGGTGAAGAGCTAAACTTAATACCAGGTTCTGCCAACATGAAGGCTCTAAAACAATTAATATGTAAATATTTTGCATATTAGGCGTTTGACCGCGTCCCTCGGGGGGCCCTGTGGGGTGTACTCCGGGAGTCTGGGGTACCAGGCCCTCTGATACGGGCTGTTAGGTCCCTGTATGACCGGTGTCAGAGCTTGGTCCACATTGCCGGCAGTAAGTCGGGCTCGTTCCCAGTGAGAGTTGGACTCCGCCAAGGCTGCCCTTTGTCACCGATTCTGTTCATAACCTTTATGGACAGGATTTCTAGGTGCAGCCAAGGTGTGGAGGGCATCCGTCTTGGTGGCCTGAGGGTCAGGTCTCTGCTTTTTGCCTTGGCCCCCAAAATGTCTTGAAACGGCCCTGGGTGTGTGACTGAGTTTTGAAGGTGATCTGAATTGTATCAGATGTATAAATATGACGTGTGTATAACTTGTTTTAAACAGGTAAAAACGTGTAGTGGAGATAAATCTACCTACATTTGACTTTATTTTCTTGTTTTTATTGAACTATTTCCTGTCCTGTCTGTCTCTCATCTTCCTGCATCTCCTCTAAACTCTCCAGAAAATCTGCTGCCTGGATTCTTACTTTTTCACCTCATCAGTTACTTCTGAGCAGATCAAAGATCTCCTGACCACAAAGCGGCGAGCGCGTGTCGATGCTGCGTCAGTGAGGTGACATCACCGCAGCACACGATGAGCGGAGCGCGTCAGGAACGATTAAAAGGCCAGAGGATATAAACGGATATGAACGATCATGTGTTAATAATAATGTTTTGCTGCGCCACCTTGAGAAGGTATGGTGCGCCGGACGCAGCGGGCGCAGCGGGCGCATCAACACTCAGCGCTCTGCGTCCTCCGCTCAGCAGAACCCCGCTAGGCTGAGCCCATGAATATTGTAAAACAGGCAGAAACTGGATCTTTCCCTGAACGATATCTAGCCCCCCATAACTCGATCCCTGCTCCTGGATGAGAACCCCGACATTTTGATCAATGCAGGAACCCCCCCCCCCCCTCCCGGACGCCCCGGACTGAGAGTGAAAAGTGGGCGTGTCCGGGGGAAAGAGGATGTATGTCACCCTACCAGATGGTAATTGACCTTCTTGGGTTTCTTTCAGGCCAGCGCCACTCTGAAGTCGACCCTGACTTTGCTGGCACTGCCAGTTCCTGCTTTCCCCGGTCCCAGTGAGCGTTACCCCGTCAGTGGGAGGCTGTGTGACGACACCTACAGGAGGCCCTGGGTCAGAGGTACACCTGCTGTCCTGGCCTAGCCCAGGTGGCTTTGAACGGAAACGGAGAAAATCTGTGCTAGTGGTCCTGATTAGTTCATTTTTGTAAACAAGTGAGGAAAAACAAACAAACGTACAGATCTGGAATTCATTTAAAGAGCATTCGAATAAAAAATGTGCAAACAAGCTAAATGACTTTTCTTAATATTTTGCTCCAACAGAGATATTCATAAAAAAATCCTTTTTTCCAGAGAATTTGTTTATTTCTTCTTAACCGTGCCAAAGCACCCCCTCCCCTGTTAGTTCACTAGTAACCATTCATGTGTTCATCACAACCCTAACAGATGAACTTGATCTTCTTCACAGGAAAGGTCTTCTCCTCCTGCAGACTGGTTGTTGCTGGTTCAGTGCTCTGTGAACTGAAAGGAAATAACCGATCATTCAGTTCTCTAGAAAGGTTAAATACATTTGAAAAGCAATAAAATCAACGTGTTAACAGTCGTGGAACGATGTAATCATCACATCACGTGTCAGATTTTCAGTGTGGGACGATGTGGACGTGATACCCAGTTCTAATCCCGACTCGCCCAAACGTGATGATCAGATCAGATGTTTGTTCAAGCAGGACCCAGATCTATGTCATGAATCGTTCTTTAAGGTGACCGCTGACCAGATGGAGCCGCACGGTTGCAACAACGGTAACTTCTTCTTATCCTTTATTGGTTTGATTACGTTGAAGAAGTCAGTTTAATTAAACAAAACACTTTAATTTCTATAGATTTCTTCCTTCCGGAGGAGCTCATAACTCCAGATTATGTGCCACAGCTAAAGAGACGTTTACCCACGCTTAAGGCCACACTGTCCCGACTCAAGATGCTTCCTGTGGCTGACCCTCTGCTGGGCCCAACGGGACTCTGCATCTCTGAGGACCCCATGTTCAGGTGTTTTCTGATCTGTATCTGTGTGTTTCCTCGTTTCAGTAGTCCCTGCTTCTCACAGCCTGCACGTTACTGTAGAATAAAACGTCTGGGCCTTTAAACTCTGTTGGGTTACAGCTGTTTCACGCGATGTGCGTCCTATGAGAACAACCCAGATGTGGACACTGTTAACCCTCAGATATGTGCAGATGTTCAGGAGGAGTTTTGTAAAGAACCACTGCTGAAAGAAGAGGTAAACATCATGAGGAATCCTCTGTATTTTTAAATAACTGGTTGAATAATTTTGTTGCTCGTCTGCAGCTGCTGCTGCTGCCCGCTGTGGTCGACACGTTCCAGCCGAGCCCGCAGAACTTCAGCACTTATTCTAATGTCTGTGCTTGGTTGAAAGCTTCTCCTGAACCTCTGGAGGAGCAGTGTTCAGTCCTGGATGTGCTTCAGAAAAGTAAGTGAGAAAAATGTTTTGAAAGTACAAACAAATGAATGAATGAATGAATGAATGATCAATTTATTCAGTCAGTTATCTTAAGATAATGTACATTAACATGTCATACAATTAGATACAAATACCATTTCTCACTAACATATGCCTTGTTTTTATATGGTGTCTGTTTGGTATATCATGACTGAACAGGTTTAGGCAGAAGCAATAGCTTATAGAATATCCTAACCTACTTACAAAACATTTTTTTAATTTCCCGCAATGAACCAACAACCCAAATAAAAGTAAAACACAAATCCATCCATCAACATCAAATTAATACTCTTCAAAAATGTTTTTACTGATAAGTTTTTTAAGAACTGAAAGAGAAGTTGCTAATTTTAATTCTATTTTAGCCTCATTCCAAAATTTTGCTCCCATTACAGAGATACATCTCCTTTTCATGCCCTTTTTGGCTTTTTGTAGAACAAACATACATACACCTCTTAAATCATATTTACTTTCCCTCTTTACAAAGAACATTAGTATATTTTTTGGCAGAGCTGTTAATTTTACTCTAAACATAAATTGCATTATTTTATAATAGTATAGATCTTCTAATTTCATAATCTGTGATTTTAAAAACAACGGGTCAGTATGAGCATAATAATTGCTCTTGTTTATAACTCGAATAGATTTCTTTTAGTTTTTATTTCATGTATATATATTTTAAAAGTTGAACCCCATATTTCTATACAATATGCCATGTATGGTTGTATTAGTGAACAGTATATTAGACGTAAGGCCTTATGGTTTAGTATGTCCTTCAGCTTATATAATAGACCCAAAGATTTGGCAATTTTTCCTTTTATGTAATTTAAATGATGCTTCCAGGATAAGTTAGAGTCAATCACAACACCAAGAAATTTTATTTCAGACACTCTTTCAATTTCAGTATCTGAAATTGTTAATTTAAAGTCTCCATTTTTTACCTTCTTATTTCCAAAAATCATAAATTTAGTCTTTTTTATATTCAGTGATAGTTTATTTACATCAAACCAAGATTTGAGGATATTTAACTCTTTTTCGGCCTTCTTTAAAAGTTCTTTTCTATCTTTACCTGAACAAACTAAAGTTGTATCATCTGCAAACATTATAAATTTGAAAAAATCTGCCACGTTACATATGTCATTTATATATGAAGTAAATGAAAAACAAAAACAAGTTGTTTGTGTCTTCTGTAGCGGTCCTGTTAGAAGCTCCGCTGGATGTTTCTCAGTACGATCCACCACAGGGCCACCGTACAGAAGGCCTGATCCTGACTGAGCTTCCAGGTACCGGTCCCAGAGATCGTACTCGGACCTGACAGCCTGTTTAAGAGTCACTCATGAACTTTTAAATGTGTTTATTCTCTTAGATGATTTTGCTCCTCACCAGGAACTAGAGCTAGACTCCATTCTGAGCCCTGAGATGAGTCCAGACCCAAGCTGTCTCTCCACCTCTCACCTCCAGGAGGAAGACTTGTCTCCTTTCGGCACACTGTGAGTGATCTCAGCTTTTGTTTTTCATCTGTGAACGTAACAAAGATCACCTAATAGTCCTCCGAAGCTCCTGAAACATTACTCATTACTCCTGTAGCTCTCTGCTGTCAGCACGGACTCGCCAAAAGATGGAGGCGGCGCTGTGGGAGTCAGAGAAGCATCTGACCTTTGTGGCTAACCTTTTGCTGTCAGGTTACTGCTGATTTAACGTTCCACCATGTTTGTGTCACATTTAGACATGAACACTGTTAAAATCACAAACTCTTACTAAACTGTTGTCTCACAGAGCCTTGTGTACAGGAAGCAGCCCCGGAGTTCCAGCCTCTGCATGAAGCCTTTAAAATGGCTAAAGCTTTCAGCAGATCTGGTGACGAGCAGAGGGTGGGGTCTGAGCTGGAGATCCTGCAGACACTTAACGGCCACAGTTGTGAGTTCACTGAGAAAATGATGCCCGAGATTCCCAAATCCAGGAAGGAGGAGAGGGAGGAATTCACAAAAGAGTTACCTGAAGATGTAGAAAGTGAAGGTCTGTATGAAAGCTTTTGGAGCTCGGTGAATAATGAATCAAAGCAGAGATGAAAGTGCAAAACTATGAATGGGACTTTCAGATTTCTTATATTCTTCATCATATTTGACTTTTTTCTGCTTTCAGTTCAATCGCTCATTCGGGATTCACCAAACGAAGCCAATTCCCACCACGACACCTGTGTGGATTCATCTCACAGTTCCCTCTCGACCCAAGCCAGCGGCTCAACTGCTCAGCAAGAGAAACCTTCTGCTACCAACAGCACTGCAGAAAGGGTTTCAGAAGGGACGTTTTTAGGTGGTGCGGGCTCGTCTCCTCCACCTTACAAACTCCACACGTCTGAGAAAGAGCTGAGCTTCCATGAAGCTTCATCTGAGCTGAACCTGTCCTCCAAACTACAAGTTAAAGATGATCAAAAACGTTTGGCGTCAGCAAGACGACCAGAACGAGACCTGGATCCTTTGTTAGACTTCATCAAACTAAGATCTCAGCAGGTGCCAGGCTCAGCTGAAGGTAAGTTGTGGTCCATTCCCTTCTGTTTATGCATTTTCATCCTAAATGAAATGGTTATACAAATATTTAGACTTCTTTAATGATAACTGCATTTAAACATGTTAAAGTTAGGGTTTCAGACGGTGATTCCACCTCATTTCAGCAGCAGAGACGCTCTCTCAGCCTCCACAGAGAGAGCAGCAGCCTGCTCCAGAGGAGATGTGGACTCCCAACAGGAAGCCAACACTTGTGAGTTTTGCTGTGTCAGCAGACGCTAGCAGAGAACACAAGCCAGCGGCTCAGAGGACAAATCGGTTTAGCGCTCTTCCAGCAAGCCAGTCGGCGTCTCAGGAGAAACCTTTCAGCAGGGTTGTGCCGGTTCGAGCTACAGGTTTGTAACGCGTGTCATTTGAAGTCATTCTCATTGTTTTGATATCGTTTAAAAGTTGGTATTTTGATCAGATTGTGTTCCTAGACCTGTTGTAAATCTCTGCTGCCCTGCAGAAAGCCAGCGGCGAGCCTACCATGAGCTGCAGGCGCTCGCTCAGCCGTGCTTGAGTTCTGCCAGACAGATGGGGCTCACCCTCCCTTCATGGGGACACTTCAGCTGCTTGGCCCCGGACCAAACGCATTTCCTCCTCAAACAGCAGGAGAGAGCCCTCTGCAGGGCTCCAGCAGAGGATGCAGAGCTGCTCAAAGGTAGCAGACGTGTTTTTGTTGTATTTCTGACTTTATCTTTGTATTTTAATCTGTTAAATCTTTAAATCCAAACTGGCTTGTAGATCAAGAGTTGCTTTTCAACCAGGCTGCTCTGATCCATGTGTTGGTGACGTTCAAAGAGCTGCTGCTGAAGTGTGATCTGAGTACTGCGGTGGGTCAGTATGGCAAACTTTATCGTAACATAAGCACGATGTGCAGCATTGTTTTTATTGTAACTCGCATGAGTGCAGATGGATTTGAGAGGAAAAACATTTTTAAAATCTCATTTCTGATCATAACTCTGAGACTTTCATGCAGGTCGAACATTTAAATAGTCTCCTACACCTCTCTCCTGCAGTAGCTTCTGACAGATCTACGTCACACTGTCACGTAACATTCATGGACTCACCCACTCAGGACCGCAGATGTGGATTAGCTTCAAGCTAAGTCTGGTACAATGCGTCAGATTTCCATATTTCTGCTTAAAGCTGCTCACGCTCCTTAAATAACAGCTTGGATGGGGGCAGGGAAGCTGTTGGTTTAGCGTCTGGGAGTCTGCAGATGTCTCGGCTAGTAGAAGCTAACTGTTAGCATTAGCAACACCACCACATAGAAAAACTCCTCCAGGCTTGTGTTTTAGTGTAGATAAAACATCCATGTCGCTATTATCCAGCCGAGCTGAAATGTCCAAATCTGAGGAAATGAGTCTCCAGATCCTGTCGCCTGAAGCTCAGCTGTGATGCGGGTTACTGCTAGTTACTGGAAATGCTGCACCAGTACCCCCCCACCCCACTCCGAGCACAACTTACAAAGCATCCATTCCTACTAGAGACCATTGCAAATGCATGGATGAACCGAGTGTTCCACGCCTTTAACTGAAGTACAAACTGCTTTTACTTGTTGTGTAACCGTTAAATCCACCCTCCATCGCCCGTAAGTGGAATGTTTGTTTACGGTGGTCTCCTTATGAAAGCATCCCTGACCAAGGCAGCTGAGGTGTGTTCTGAGCAGAGACTGAAGCAGCTGCTGAAGAGGATGCAGATCCTCCTCATCCAGGAGAAGCAGGAGTCCAACTTTAAGCTGCTGGAGCTGCAGCAGCTGCTGGCTGATTGGCTCCACACCAGAACGGGAAAGACGGCAGAGAAAGTCCGTTTAGAGCAAAAGGTCAAATGTCAGGTTGTGTTTGGTTTCGCCACCTGGTGTAACTTTTTACCTGCAGATTCTCGTCGTGCTCTCCGTGGACTCTGATGACAGCAGATCGAGGATCATCAGCGACTTGAGTCAAGTGACTGGTGAGCAGAAATCCAGGCAGCCTGCATAAACAAGCTCTGTAGTTAGGGTTAGGGTAAAACCTGAGCCAGAGCTAACGCTCACAGCAGCGTGTGTTCACATCTAATAGAGCATGTGACCATTGAAAGTAAAAGTTGCCTGTTTTGTTGATGGAGGTGCTGCTGTGACGTCTCTTTGTCCCGATGAGGACGGGAAGCAGCTGAGTAGTGTTGGTGTGGTCAGCAGGTGAGACACACACACAGCTACATGTTCGTTCTGTAATGGGGTCGGTACATCGTTCATATTTGGTTCCCATGTTCTTGTCGTGTCCACGCAGCATATGCAGCAGTGACTGTGTGGTAGTGTGTGAGCAGCATATAGGTGCAGACTTTCCCTGGAGCTGCTTCTCTCTGTTGGTGGAGTTCGACCATCCAGGCTCGTCTCCGTGGTCAGCAGTCTGCAGCGAGAAGAGCATCAGCCACCTGACTTTCACCACCAGCATCCCTGAAGGTGAGTCTGCAGCCATGTTAGGATGTTTTTATCCTCCTGAAAGCCCGTTTCTTCACCTGTAGATGTAGAGAACACCTCATGGTGTCTGGAGGACAATCTTCCTTTTGTGCTGATCGTGACAGAGGGCCTTCTGAACCACCCACTGCTGCTTCAGACGCTTGAGTCAGAGTGAGTTTTCAGTTCAAAGCAATAAAAAAAGCTTCATTTCTAATATTTGGGTAATACCTGCTGTCAGCCAATCAGCATGCAGCTCATTTAATATTCATGCCCTGACTGAGTGGGCGGGGCAATTGGACTTTATTATGAGCTTGTGTTTGGACATTTATCAAGGTCCAGCTCCAACAAAGTTTCATGTGATCTAGACTTCCAGGCTGCTCAGTTGATCGAATTTTAGTCCCGATTACGATCTGAGTTTTAAACTATTAAAAAACAAGCCGATTATTGGCTCCTCCCCCTTGCACTGTTCCGAGTTGCAAATCAAACGCTCCTCCCAGTGTTGCCAACTCAGTGACTTTGTCCTCATTTCCTGCAGCTCTTCAGACCCCCTTCTTGAACTTTTACATCTTAAAAGTACCTCGTGTTTTTTATTTCTGTTATAAATGCCGCTGTATAATTCCTGCTGTCAGTATTTTCAAGACGTTGGTGTTTGGGTCCTTACTGGTTGGGCTTAACCGAGTCAAAACAAGGTCTGTAGCCCTTGGGTCATAAGCTATGAGCAAGTATGTTGGGCTTTTTATACTAAGAATCACGAGTTATGTTGGTGATCATCTTGTTTATTTATATTTGTCCTGATTGGGCCCTGAGCAGTTTTATGACCGAATCAACAAACAAAATCAACATTTAGTTGAAAAATCGTCTTAAATAATCAACATCCCAATTTCAGTCACAATGGTGACTTTAATTTGAGGCTTTAATAGACTCAACAGAACAGTTGTAAAAAAAGTTCACTTTTTCTGTTTGTTTGTCATTTTTATTTTGTTGCATTAATTTAGTTATGATCTGTAGAAGATGCAAAGATATTTAGCATTACAACTATAAACCGTTAGCGTCAGTAACAGGTCTGTAGCAGGAATAAAAACGGTGCATGGTTGGAACACGACCTGACCCTAACCCCCGGGCGTTAACACGATTCGTGCAGCTCTCCACAAAAATGAAGCTGTTTTGTTTTTTCAAGAGATTTTGAACGGATGCTTTATTTCTGGCAGATTTCCATTGAAGGCCGTTTGTAGCCTACGTGCTGGAGCTCATGGTTTAAGGAACGTCTGTTTTTACAGTTTCTGTGTAACGGTGCTGGAAAGGAGCCACAGTCCAACCCTGCAGATGCTTGGAGGGACCCACAACTACGCCGTGATCACGGTGGACGAAGACGCAGCCATCGTTATCCAGGTAGCAGAACGTAGCCTTGACAGATCAGTCTGGAGCTGATCCTGACTTGACCTAAAAATACTCAAGTCTGGACCTTCAAATGGCTCTTTGATGCTCTTAAGGTTGGTTTATGCTTGACGTTTCCGCGAGGTCCGCGTGGTAAAATTGTGTCATTTTAACAACCACGCCCCTCCACCGCGCCTCCGCACGGCCCAAACTTTCCGCAGCGCGCACCTAGGAAATGTTCTAACCACGCGGACGGTCGGACGCGGAAAAACATGGCGGACCAGCAAGAACTAGTACGGCAGAGGTTGGTAAATACAGACATTTGTATGATTCAGCTCTCAGAGATCGCCGTGATCAACATGTTAATAATTCTTGGAGAGAAATAGCTCGCACTGTCGGAGAAGACGAGGACGCTGTTAAAAATGCTGGAATACCATGTTGTAAACAGAAATTTCTACTTCTACTATGGCGTAGTGTTGGATGCATGCCGTAGAGCTCCATGCTGCCCCCTACAGTTTGGGAGAATATTGGCTCACCGCAGAGACGAGCCGCACGAACCATAAACGCTGCGAGTTGTGAAGCGCGTTCCAGCCGCGAGCCGCATCACCGCGCGGAAAGTAAACGCGTCAAGCATAAACCAAGCTTTAAAGTGAAGACTGGCTAAAAGTTTCAAATGTAAATTGGCAAAGTGAGATCCAAATACAAAAGCTCATAAGGTCAATAATGGCTTATTATTGTGTGTGCACATGCAGGAGCAGGATGAGCTGTGTGAAGAGCGAGCCAGCGAGCGTCTGGTGATGAGGCTGACGGCCCTCTCCCTACAGTACAGCTACTGTTGGCTCTTCCTGCACTGTTCTGACAGCCAGGGTGGAGGGTTTGTGTTCACACTCATCCTTACACATCACACCGTGCAAACGTTTTAAACCAGCCCTCGTCGGTTTTAGCACCACTTCCAAGGTGCCATGTCTGTAGCATTTAAAGTTCCTAGAATAGAAGACTTCCTTGGTCCCACAGTGGGGAAATTCACTTGTTACTGCAGCACCAACACTCAGCTACAACAAGAACAAAGGTGCATGTATTAGAGGTGTGAATCTTCACTTGTCTCCCGATTCATTACAATTATTGGGTCAACGATTCGATTCGATTCGATATCCCGATGCATCACGATTATTTCATATGGATTTGTTTTCATCGGTAAATAGAAGATGTCAGATACTTGCTTTTTTTTAAAAATCAAAAACGTAATTGACACAAGCTTCCATCCCTCAAAATCTCTCCATCCACAACAGGTTAGGACAAACATGTAAACATTTAAGAAGATTTAACAAAGTAAAACATGTGTTTCCTGGTTCAACACCACGCCTCAGGCTGAGAAAAACACGCTTTACAAAAACTCACAAAATGTAAAAAAGTACTGAAAACCTACAGGACACATAATGTAATAATAAAATACATAATGGGTTCATATACGAGTGTTTAGTGTCTCTGAGCAGCTCTAGAGTCAGATGTTTATGCCGCAGCTGAAGGATGTCAGAAGTAACACCAAATGAAATGTTTGACTTAGTTTATTTTATTTGAACCCAGCGGTTCGTTTCTGAAATGTTGGAGAATGAATCAAGTTCTGTTTGATGCAGAAAATAATAAAACACAAAACAAATTCTACACTTCCAATAATATTTAAGGTGTGTGTTTTATTCTTCCTGATAATAACACCAGCAGAAGGCTGTGGGCTGGATTAGGATTAAACTACCCAGATGATGGATCTCCGTCACTAACCAGCTAACTACAAACCTTTCCACTGACCTGTCCTGTGTCACCCTCACCATGTGACCCTCATGTCCATGCTGTCTCTGGAGGAGCAGATAGGAGACGAGACCTCCTGTAACTTCCTCCCAGCTTCTCTTTCAGCTGAATTTAACATCAGTTTATCTTCATGGAACAAAAGAATAAAGTGGAACAAGAACTTCTATCTTCTATTTGTTACACAGTGAAGTGTAGTGAGGACAAAAGAAACATGATGACTTGGTCGATAGATAAGGAAAACCAATTTTATTTCCTCTGGTCCGAAAAAAAAACGAAATCGGAAAATCCCAGCACTATTCAAAATGGCCACCCATCCAACTCTCTTAGCAGTCTCTGTCACTTTCAGAGAGGAAAAACCGACCCTTGATGAACCCAGACTGGTGGTGCCTGAAGAATATCGTGCCGTAATCCTACATTTGGGTCATACTGTACCCTGGTCGGGACATCTAGGACAGGCAAAAACATACATACGTAATGTAGGATTACGGCACGATATTCTTCAGGCACCACCAGTCTGGGTTCATCAATATCAGCAAGATACAACAGTTTATCCTTCATTATAAAAGGTTCTCCATCTAAACTTTTGACCCCCCCAACATTTTCTTCACCATGAACTTCATGTGCTTTGAGCAAAAGAGGTTTTAAAGATGGATCATTTTCTTGGCTCTTTTTAAAGTTACTGGGGATCTGCCACCGACGATCAATAGGTGGGGTAATAGGCAAAGCAGGTTCAGCAAGTTTTGACATACACTTGTACTTGTTTTTCTCCTGTCTTCTTTGTCGTTTTGTTTTCCTGGTTTTACTCCCACCTTCATACAAATTGTCCTCTGCATCTGGGAGTGGTTCTAAACCTTTTTTCATAGATCTAGTAACGACTGCACAAGATAATGCCGCAGAGTTTTGTTGATCCAAGCTGTCCAAGATTGGCAAGTCCTGCCCTAGAACTACATCATATGCTAACTGGTTCAAAACCCCAACAGTTAACATAAAGGCTTGGCCCTCTACTTCTATGGTAACATCTGCAGTTGGATAATCTTTGTGACATCCATGAACACAGGTAATGTTTACAGGCCTGTTAAAGTCAGGCAGTACATTGTTCAACATAGAAGATTTTACCAAAGTTTGTGAACTACCAGTGTCTGCTAGAGCCTTTAATGCTCTGCCATTTACTTTTACCTCCACCACATGCTTATGTGGAATCAAACTATCAGACAGTTCCTGACCATGTTCTTTGGCAGGTACCACACATAGCTCTACCATTTTAGGTTTTCTTAGTGGACACAAAGAAGCTTTGTGACCAGGCTGCTGACAGTGATAACAAATTAGGTTAAACTTCGAACTGGAATAAATTGGCTTTTTACCACCTTTAGTGTCCAAGCTTTCAAAACCAGGTGTACCTGGAGGTTTTACCTCCCCAAACCTTGGTCGTCCCACAGCAGTCCTTGACCTTGCTGGTTCCCGGTGAGCAGCTAGGTAACGTTCAGCCAGATTTGCTGCTTCCTCTCCTGTCCTGGGATTGTTCTCCTTCACCCAGGTGCGGACGTCTGGCTGAAGCACACGCAGATACTGCTCCAAGATGATTGTTTCTCCAATCTCCTCCTTACTCCGACTGTCCGGCCGCATCCATCGCTTGTAGAGTCCCTTTATGCGATTGTAGGTTTCCCGTACAGTCTCTCCCATGGGTACACTGGTGCTTCGGAACCGGTACCTGTAAGTCTCTTCTGTCACGTTGAACTTAGACAACACAGCAGCTTTAATAGCATCATATGAGTCAGACTGATCTTCATCCATACCAGCATAAGCCTCAAGAGCTTTTCCAGTCAACAATGTGACCACTCTAGCAGCCCATTCAGCTGGTAGCCATCCCCATGTCTTAGCCATGCGCTCAAATCGTACAAAGAAGCTCTCAGGATCCTCACCTTCTTTGAAGTCAGGTATTCTAGGTTCACCTCCATGGATCCTGCCAACCCTTTGTGCTGGAACGCTTTGTGCCAGCTGCAGCTGAGGTGGTGCAGACAGTCGTAAAGGAGAATGAGGATCAGCTGGGTGTCCTTGAGGGGGCTCTCCTGACGCCTGAGGCATTTGGACCTCTTGCTTTGGAAAAGCCGCTGTTGTAGAAGTTTCAGTCTGGACATAAGGCTCAGAAAGTTCAGAATACAACTCATGCTGCAGCTTTGGTATGGTACTGCTCAACTGTTTAATCTGCTCAAACAGTATGGCTTCAGTTCGCTTTGAACGCCGCATGAACTCTCTCATTTCTTCAAACATGTCAAGTTCAGAAAGTTCTTTACTCACAGTACCAACTGTAGTCTGCTTAGGCCGTACCACTGGTTCAAAATCCTCTTCGCCACCTGTGGCTCCTTCAGGAGGTGTATCTAGCTCCATTGTCCGACCTTCTGTTTCTTCCATGTCATCAAGAGGGCTTTTCTTTGTCCCACGGGTTCTTCCACGTCCTCTCATTTCTTATCCCACCTCTGCCACCACTGTTACACAGTGAAGTGTAGTGAGGACAAAAGAAACATGATGACTTGGTCGATAGATAAGGAAAACCAATTTTATTTCCTCTGGTCCGGAAAAAAAAACCAAAATCGGAATATCCCAGCACTATTCAAAATGGCCACCCATCCAACTCTCTTAGCAGTCTCTGTCACTTTCAGAGAGGAAAAACCGACCCTTTGCCACACCCAGCAGTCCACCTATATACTCTCCGACCCCCCCTCCAATTCAGGTCGGCCAATCACATCAGTCCACTCAGGCATTTCCTATATAAAGGCAGCATTAGAGGCGGGCTTCCTCTTTAGCTGCTTCAAAATGGCTGCCACAGAGGACACCTCCTGAGGGTAACAAACAAATTCATGTTACATAACAAATTACAGGTGCTGGCCAGTAAATTAGAATATCATCAAAAGGTTGAAAATATTTCAGTAATTCCATTCAAAACGTGAAACTTGTACATTATATTCATGCAATGCACACAGACCAATGTATTTCCAATGTTCATTACATTTAAATTTGATATTTATAGGTGACAACCAATGAAAACATCAAATCTGGTATCTCAGAAAATTAGAATATTCTAAAGGCCAATGAAAAAATGTTTGTTTCTCTAATGTTGGCCAACTGAAAAGAATGAACATGAAAAGAATGTGCATGTATAGCACTCAATACTTAGTCGGGGCTCCTTTTGCCTCAATAACTGCAGTAATGCGGCGTGGCATGGACTCGATCAGTCTGTGGCACTGCTCAGGTGTTATGAGAGCCCAGGTTGCTCTGATAGTCGTCTTCAGCTCCTCTGCATTGTTGGGTCTAGCGTATTGCATCCTCCGCTTCACAATACCCCATAGATTTTCTATGGGGTTAAGGTCAGGCGAGTTTGCTGGCCAATCAAGGACAGGGATACCATGGTCCTTGAACCAGGTGCTGGTGGTTTTGGCACTGTGTGCAGGTGCCAAGTCCTGTTGAAAGGTGAAGTCTGCATCCCCATAAAGTTGGTCAGCAGCAGGAAGCATGAAGTGCTCTAAAACTTCCTGGTAGACGGCTGCATTGACCCTGGACCTCAGGAAACAGAGTGGGCCAACACCGGCAGATGACATGGCACCCCACACCATCACTGACGGTGGAAACTTTACACTGGACCTCATGCAACGTGGATTCTGTGCTTCTCCGCTCTTCCTCCAGACTCTGGGTCCTTGATTTCCAAAGGAAATGCAGAACTTGCTTTCATCAGAAAACATAACTTTGGACCACTCAGCATCAGTCCAGTCCTTTTTGTCCTTGGCCCAGGCGAGACGCTTCTTGCGCTGTTTCTTGTTCAAGAGTGGCTTGACACACGGAATGTGACACCTGAATCCCATGTCTTTCATGAGTCTCCTCGTGGTGGTTCTTGAAGCGCTGACTCCAGCTGCAGTCCACTCTTTGTGGATCTCCCCCACATTTTTGAATGGGTTTGTCGTCACAATTCTCTGCAGGGTGCGGTTATCCCTAGAGCTTGTACACTTTTTTCTACCACATTTTTTCCGTCCCTTCGCCTGTCTGTTAATGTGCTTGGACACAGAGCTCTGCGAACAGCCAGCTTCTTTAGCAATCACCTTTTGTGTCTTGCCCTCCTTGTGCAAGGTGTCAATGATTGTCTTTTGGACAGCTGTTAAGTCAGAAGTCTTCCCCATGATTGTGGTGCCTTCAAAACAAGACTGAGGGACCTTTTAAAGGCCTTTGCAGGTGTTTTGAGTAAATCAGCTGATTAGAGTGGCAGCAGGTGTCTTCTATATTCAGCCTTTTCAGAATATTCTAATTTTTTGAGATACCAAATTTGGAGTTTTCATTAGTTGTCACTTATGAATATCAAATTTAACTGTAATGAACATTGGAAATACATTGGTCTGTGTGCATTGCATGAATATAATGTACAAGTTTCACGTTTTGAATGGAATTACTGAAATATTTTCAACCTTTTGATGATATTCTAATTTACTGGCCAGCACCTGTACATTCCTGAATGAACACTCTTTGGTTTAAAGACATGTTGCTTCTCAACACTATTTCTCTCTCCTTTTAACTTCTCTGTCTCCCTAAATAAGAGACAGATGATCACGCTGCAGCCACCATCACTGGCCCCGCCCCCTCCCCAAGACCGGATCTCCCTACATTACAACAAGCAGTCTGACTGAGCGCTTCCAGGAGAAATAATAATTAAATTATGAAAATAATAACGCATGTTTGGAGCAACGGTTTGGAGGAGCGTCCTCTGATGCTCTCGTGTGAGCAGAGTCCCCCCCCCCCTCTCAGTTGCTGTGCGAGCGAGCGGAGCGCGCCGCACGACAACCCGCTCAATTAACATAATTCACGGCCCAAATCCAACAGAACCGGCCGGGCTGATTCGGTTCCAGTTTGGTCTCGGGTTACAACTCCAGCGCTCAGCCCTGCAGAACCACATTAAGGCGGAACCACGTGGTAAATGTGGAGGACGCTCTGACAGCTTTGGATGCAGCGCTGGTGCCGCCGTTAAAAAACAAAACTACATTCCACTATAAGCGATGATGGCGTACTCTCCTACGGTGCAGAACCGTTTATGTCCGCATCCCGGTGCGTCGATTATTTGATGATTTTCCTCAGCTCTAGCATGCATGTACACATACTGTAGGCAGTGAGCTGGTAGTGTAACCTTCCTCAACTAAAAACCACAAATACAACATTCAAAGCTGGATTCCAGAACTGTGCTGGAACACACACACACACACGATGTAAACCAGGTATTTAACACATTCTCAATATTGCTGTTATTGTGTAATGCCAGTGCAGCTTAAACTCTTACTGCAGTGGGGATGGAAGATCTACGGTAGCGTACATCTGGGATGTCTCAGTCTGCCTCTGGAGGAGCTGTCCGTGGTCTTCTCAGTGGGTGGGAGGGTTTTTAAGATGGAGGTCATCTTCCCCAGCATCCACTTTCACACGTCTCCTCAATTACAAATTAATTTGGGCTGATTTATTCCATTTCTGCAACGTTTTTCTACTTGACTATATCAAAGAAGTTGTGCAAATGTATTCAGAAGTTTTTGTTTAATGGCAGACTTTCCAGCAGAGCTTTCAGGAACTTGGTGTTGGTTTATTCGTCTTTGGTGCTGTTTGGCACAAAGTCAGGGGAACTGGATGTGAAGGTAGGACCATGCGGCTCAGTCATTATGGTGTCCAGCATGTCAAAAACAACTTGGTTCATTCTCAGTTTGGTTCTTTTAAGGTTCTGATTGTGTCCCAAGTGTCGGAAATGGCCGAGTTCATCCACCAGATCTGCTTCACCAGACTGATGTCCAGTGACCGAGATCCTGCCAGCTACCTGACCAGAGACTGGCTCACTGTGCTGCCTTCTCAGGTGACCACAGACTTCAGTGAAAAAGGCCATTTTCTCAGGTTTTTACAAAGTAAAGCTGTAAAGTATTAGTACAGTAGCATTCAGTGATATGATTCTTGAATCTCGAACGTCGTGGGAGCCATCAGTCTTATCAGACGAATGAAAAGGGTGCATGCTGTGTTTCCTGCAGGAGGAAGAGTGCCTGTCCAAGTTCCCTTGCCTTAATCCTCTGGTCAGTCAGCTGATGCTGAGCAGGGCTCCGTCTCTGCAGTGTCTCCTGAGGGCCCCTCTGCCCCAGCTGAAGGAGCTGCTTCCTGAAGTGCCTCATAAAGTGCTGAAGGTGATCTAGACCTCAGAGAAGATGTCTTGGTGTTAAAAAAGCACTTTTAAACAGAAATGGGATTTATCTTCTTGTTTTTAGACTTTCACTGAGTGCATCTCTCTACACTGGAACAGCATGGCTCCCAAACACCCGGACACCACTAAAACCAGTCCTCCACATGGTCCTTGTGCCCACTCTGAAGATAACTCGCCACATCTAGAGCGGACCTGCAGCGACCACAGTGCCAGCTTCCTGGAATCTTTCAATGAATGGGACCCAGACCCCTCGGGTTTTAGACTCGACTCGAGTTGCTCCTCCTGCAGCCCCGTTGCTGACCTCCAGCGCGACAGAGACCTCTGGAACGAGGAGGAAAAGGTTCCTTTTTGGAGTCGCACAGCTGAAGCAGCAGGGAGAGTTGTCATGACTCTGAGGGCCTCGCAGAATGGCTGCACCTCACCCCTGCACACAGCTAACAGCCCTTTCCAACCGGACCCTGCATTCAGCTGCAGCCCCATCCTGCAGCAGCCAGCCAGCAGCCAGGTCTCCCCCCACTCCACAATCTACAGTCACCTCCATCATTCTCAGAGCGATAACATCTTCTGCAATCCACCGTCAGATGTTTTGTGGGGTCAAAGCGGTAGCAACTGTCTGTTTAGGAGTAGAGAGATGACGGCAAGTTCGCCTTCCTTCAGCTACAAGTGCTGGAGAGGTCAGGAGAGGAAGAGGAGCTCAGACGTGGCTGGCCTGCGTGGGTCGGGCGAGTGTAAGTGGCTTTTATACTGAAGTCATAACTGAGTTGTAGGCGTGTTTTACCAGAATCCGTCTTTTCTGTGTTTCAGTGCTGATGAAGAGAGGAAGGCTGAGCTACGAGAGAGTTCCTGGCAGGAGAGACGGACAGACCCGACTAAAATTATTCTCAGATTAAATAAAAAACAATATGCACCTGTTCATGATTTAGCTGTGAAATTAGTTTTTACTTGGTTTTTGAGTTCTACTGATTCCTGTTGAAACGTGTTCAGCCGTATTAAATGAACACAAATGTAAAATAACAAGTTTAATGTCATTGAAACGGTTTTACTGATGAAATATATCTGTGTGTGATCAAAACCAGTTAGTTGATCTATAGAAAAGCTTTTTGTGTTAAACTTGTTTATCTGTTAGAATTGTGTGAGTGATGAAGTTTCCACAGTTTTCTATGTTGTATAAAAATTCTGACCAAAATAAATTGGACCTTTTTCTATATTTAGTTGCAGTTTTCTTCTCGTGCTGAGAGGGAAAACGAGATGTGATTTATGAGGTACAGAGGTGGGATTGAGGGTCTTTCCTATCTGCACTGACAACGTCTCATTTTGTGGGGTTTCTTTTTTATATATGATTCAGTGAAGCAATCCCCTTATCGGGCTCTCTCAGCGTGTGAAGAGAGTGCTTATCTCCACGAGCCAGCAGAGTGAAGCCACTTCCCCCAGGAGTGATCCCCAGACAAAGACGACCCCGGGGACATTGACTCCAAACCGCCCTGCCTCCTGCCGGCCACGTCCAGCACCGACTCGCCACCATCAATAACCTGACAGCCTTTGTAAAACGTCTCTGTCTTCCTTGGCTCTGCTTTCTGAGAGGCGGTGGACAAAGAGGGAGAAATGGTTTGTTTTTTACTGCCGGAGGAACAAAGAAGCTGGTCAGCAGAGGTAAACAGCAACCTAATGGGGCAGTAATGGCTCCTGAGCTGTGAACAGGACCGATAACGTGGGAATTAACAGGCTGTTTACACCAGTGCATCCTTTTAGACTGGGCCCAACTCGGGCCTCAGCTGTAAAGGTCACTCTTCTTATCGCCCATCACAGACTGCAATTAACTGTCACCTGTGTGTTTTCCATCTTTCCTTAAGAAGACGCAGTTTACGACAAGTCTAAAAAACAAGTGTTTGAATCATTAAGTCAGGTTCAGTAAACCTGGTTCTGCAGGTGTGAAGAATTTCAAATCACCTGAACTGGAGGCAGAGAGTGGTGGAGCCTGGCCCTGCAGGTGCAGCCCCTTGGACGTGCAGCGGGGCCCATGAATGGAAAGATTCAGAAAACGGCCCCCATCGGGCCTGTCCTCCAGGGCCAGGGCTAATCCCAGACCCTAATCGGATTATGTAAATTCCTACTCCACACACGGACTTTAGAGAAGGCTGCATCTTTGAAACAACACTTGAAGGGTGGAGAAAGAACGATGACAATTGGTTAAACTAGATTTGTTATTTTATTCGAAAGTGGGAGGCAGAGAGGGTGTGTGTGTGGTTGGGGGGGCTGACAGAAGTGAGCCAGACACTGTGCCCTCCATGTTTCCTCTGTAATTTATGTGTGGCCCCTTGGAATCGCTCAACAAGATTACCATAGTCATAACAAAACCCACATTGTCCCTCTGTCGGTCTGGATGTGGTATTTTTACCTTTTGTGGCCCAATCAGGCTGAATTCAAAAGCAGAGCTGCAGCGATATCAAGGTCTTTCCCCTTGGTCCAGGGGGACGGTGGGCTGTCCATGCCTAATGTCCCAGAAACAGAAAGGAATAAGTGTCCAATGCAGTGAGAGACGGATCAGAGAGACAAACGTCTCAGTTTCATTTCAGTAGGAATTTATCACCTTCAGTGGATTAAATGAGCAACGAATCATAAGAGCAGCACAGATAGTCTCTGAAAAGGCCGTTGAACCACCAAAGCTGCAGGATCCACCCTGAATCATTTTAAAATATTAAACAAGAAACTCACAAGAAAGAAAACATTTAAACCACGAAGCATCGTCGATAATGCACATTCATTTATTTAGAGTGATATAAAGGTGGGGGCGTGCAGTGCAACAACCACACAATGAGCAACACACGTCACACAATGGGGCTGACCTGCTATAAAATGTGGGATGCAAGCATGCAGCACTCTCACCCCTGCACTCCCGCTCTCCCCCGTCCCTCCCTGACCGTCTCTGCCTCCTTCGCTCATTTGGATCTCAGCGAGGATGAGAAGACTCAACTGAGCGGCCGTTCAGCCAGGAGACTCTGGTGTCCTGTGGACAACAACGCTGCCTCTGACATTTCTGCACATTTCTACAAAAACAGGTGAGACGTTTTGTTTTCTGCTGGAGTTTTTCCCTCCAGCAGTCAGAATAAATGAGAACAGTGTTTTAATAGCAGCTGACATGAAAATGTGTGTGTGGAACTATTAATGAAAACAATCTCATTCAGACTGAAACACTTGCATTTATATTTATTTATTTGAATTATAACATAACATTGAATTACACTGATTTTCACAACTAAATCTGTCTAAAGCAATTCATCTTAATGTGTGATTATTTTATTCCTAAATGAAAAAATATAACATTTATATTGAATCCAACGTTTGGTCGTCATAATTAACAGTGAAAATGACAAAAGCAGAAACCTCACATTCAAGCAGCAGCTGATAAGTCTGCTTCCATCTCTGTCCTCAGCACCATGACCAGGAAGGTGTTTACCAACACAAGGGAGCGCTGGCGCCAGCACAACGTCAACACTGCCTTCGCAGAACTCCGTAAGCTCATCCCGACCCATCCTCCGGAGAAGAAGCTGAGTAAGAACGAGATCCTGCGCCTGGCCATGCGCTACATCAACTTCCTGGTGCAGCTGCTGGAGAACCAAGGTGGCCAGCCAGCCAGCCACTCCCCCACCGCACTGCTCACCTTCCTGAGAGGAAACATGGAGCAGCTGCACTCTCCGCCTCCGCATCCCTGGACCACGACGAGTGACACTGATGCTCCATCACCTGGATCCAGCTGTGGCAGTTCTGAGGCCTGGTAGATGCACAGGCCTGGTTTTAAAAACAAGAGACTCTTGAGACATTTGGACCCTTTTAGCAGGAGAACTGGTTGTGTTGCATTGTGACATATTCCAGTGCAGATCGCTGTGTAACGTTGAAGGACCCCACCAATGCACTGAAGGCTGAAATATGACTGGCAGGTGAAAATTATTTGTGTTCTGCAAGGAAGTGTAAGTCCTGGATGTCCCTTCATGTTAATATTCCTGGTTGTTGATCCGCCTGGAGCTAATTTAATTTTACACGAGAGGGAGTTTTGCCAACGAGAAAAACAGAGGGGATTATGGACCTCCTCCTTTTAGGTAGAGATTGAGGAAAGCATTTAAAGAGATTAAAGCTCAGCCAATTCTCCAGACTGCAGTCATGTCTAAAGAGCCACGGGCAGTTTTATAAAGCCTTTTAGTGGACTTGAACTTTTCCTTCTAACATTCTAAATTTGACCTTTCTTGTCAATTTTAAGGTTTTGTGACTCCAGAAGAATCATTTAGTCTTGTGCTTCCTAATATTCCACATTCGGACTGAGCAAGGAAAATTCTGGAAAAACTGACAATCCTCTCTGACCAAATTTTCCCAAACCTCTTGATTTAAATGTTTTTTCTCCCTTTTTATTCGTGTACATGTGCCATACAGCCAAAGATAATGAACTGATTGTCAACTATGTTAAATGTGCTCATTCATCAATATTACACCTCTTTTCTCATTTATTTTGGTTTGCCTGTAAAAGCATAGCATGTTATTTATTTCAACTATTTATTTAATAAATGATTTATTATTTGATTTTCTGGATTTTGCCACTGAAACTTTTACATCGCAGTTCGGCATCTACATTTCCCCAATTTAATTTTGTTTATTGCAACTCGGGATCATACAAATCCTGCTTGTAGTGTCTTACATTTAATCCAAAATACTTCCTGAATGAAGGTCATCCTGCATTTCCTGTCAGAATAGGACGATTTAGGGCAGGGGTATGCAAGTCAGGGCCCGGAGGGCTGGTCTCCAGCACACTTCGGTTGATCCTCTGCACACTTGATTCAGTGGTTGAACTGCCTGTGCTGCAGCTCGCCAGGCTCTGCAGAATCCAGTTACTTACCTGCTGAGGTGTTGAAACGTTATTGAAACTCAAACACGCCGGATACCGGCCCTCAAGGCCCAGAATTGAACACCCTGATTTAGGGTATAAACAACAAAATTACAATCCTTGTCTTCAGTGTTTTCGCTGCATCATCCCACCTGGTTTGAATCAATAAGTGATTAAGGTTCTGCAGAGTTTGAGAACATACAGGTAATCCATCCACCGAACCAAGTGTCGGGTAACATCTCAGTCCTAGACCTGGAGGGCCAGCATCCAGCATGTTCTAGTTTAAACCCTGCTTCAGCGCACATTATTTCAGTCAGCAGGTGATTAACAGGCTTCTGCAGAGCCTGACGAGCTGCTGCACAGGTGAATCAACCACTGAATCTAGTAAGTTGGTGCAGAGAAACAGTGAAATTATGCTGGATACAGCCTTCCAGATGGAGAACCACTGATGCATTTTTGTTGAAATGGTCAATTTATTTAAAAACATCCCATATTAAACACAACCATCCATAAAAAGCTCCAGAAATACTTTGGAAAGCAAATAAACTCACCAAAAGCAGTGATATGACGATACACCAAGGCACAACTGGGAGCTGAAGCTAAAGAGCGGAGCTGCCCGCTCTCTTTGTTCCTAAAAAGCTCTGAGATGTTTGTCTCTGTGCTCCTCTGATGACCGTGTGGACACAGAGCTGACCTCTGCTCTTTGTCCACTGACCACAGGCCTGAGAGACGAGCGCTCGATGTGACCGCTTAACTTGCAACCCTGGAGGTCAGAGGTCACTCTGAAGTCAAATGATGTCCAGTTGACCAGGACGGGATTTATCTACGTAGTTTTTTATTTTCTTTTATGAAAAACTGAGTATAAAATAATGAGTGAGGACATTCACCGTTCAGTTCTAAACCATTTTAAAGGTCTTGGAGTTCACAACAAAAGCAACTGAATGACTTCCTAAAGCGGTTTTCTGATATTTACTTTGAATTCTCAATTAGAATCAAAGACAATAAAATGATGAGGATCACAATAACTGAAACCATCAAGTCTCTCTTTGTAAAAGGCTGTCACTCCTGGATGGAAGCAGTTTTGTTCGCAGCTGTCTCTTTAAAACAGAGGTCAGAAATTTAAACGCTCCAAAATGTGTGGCGTCTGTAGAAAACGTGGCAGAAAGCTGCTTCTAACTGAGCTGAAGGGTAAACACAGGGCTGGCTCTGGGCGCGTTCACAGAGGCAGTTAAACTCTGACTAATAGTGTGTAAACCAAGCGAAGGGCAGCTGGACACAATGACCAGCGGGACCTGACAGGTGACTCTTTGTAAGGCTGCAAAAATACTGAATTAAAATGTGTTTTACTGGGAGAATGATGACGGCTACACCACAGCAGCAGCTCTTTACAGACTTTAAAGATGGGTTTATGATTTTAAAATGGTTTCTAAAAAATATTTTCAATTCTTAGAAATGTTGCAATGATTAAAAATGGAAGTTCGATGTGAAATCTCAAGCTAAATGAAGAGAAACAGCTCCTGCATACGTGCAGTCCGTTTGAGAAACAGGCATAAGATACCAGCGAGTCACGTGTTAGCAGTACGCTGATTTATGTTTGCTGCAGAATTAGAAGAACCTGCATTAAAAACAAATCTGTATGCCTCTCACTCCCTCCACCGAGTGTGTTTTTCTGATTGACTATTCTGTTCCAAGCATGCGGTTAATCGTCTATTGAGAGCACATTTCCTTATCAGTGTCTAGCACACTGTCTGAATCCGTTATCACAATGGACCAGATCAGTGCAGGCAGCCCCTCGCTCTCCGGGCTGAGGCGCCCATGAAAAAGAATTTCTGGAGTTTGGTGCCAGCCGATAGGCCCTGAGCTCTTTATCCCCTTAAAGCCAATTCGCCCTCTGCATGTTTAAATATCTCTGCTCAACCCCTGCCCCTCCACTCCAATCACACCCCTCCTCCTCCTCCTCCTCTCTTTCACCCCTCTGCGCCTGCAGAGGTCCAAGCCTAAACTGACGCTGTAATCGACCTGCAACGTGGGAGCGTAGGATGCAGGTGCAGAGCTGGTTGGATGGTGACAGAGGAGGGGAGTCCTCCATTGTTCGGCTGGACAGCACCCTCTCTCTTCTGGAGCACCCTCTGATGGGGGAGCAGACAATCACACATCCTAATCTGATTATGCAAATGTCTACTTCAAAAGGCAATACTCGGTAACCCTCACCAAGTGGTAGGAGGAAGAGGAAGCAGCAGGACTGTTTGAAGAAACGAGCTAACTTCCACAAATATTAAATAGTCTGAAATTTTTAAATAAACAAATCAAAGATTTTGCCGTTTTGTTCCTCTGTCTCGCCTCTCCTATCCCAGCGAGGGAGGTTTAAGAATAAAAACAAAAACTTGTACAGTTTGAAAGGCCACTGACTCCCTCAACGGGGATTGGATCCAATATTCAAATGCTCATTGTTTTTCCAGCCGCTCCTGAATCCAGCATAAAGAGGAATCTACAATGTTAATAAGGGGGACAAATGCCCAGTTGAGGCTTAACGCCCAAACAGTCAGAGGTGACATGTCTCAAGAACACGGACCCTTAAAAGCACAATCTATCACCCTCCCCGCTGCTGATTTAAAGTATAGAAGAAGATTCTGACTCGTCACGTAAAAAAACTAACAAAAACAAAACCCAGCTGCCCATGTGTGTGCAGCTACACATCTCAGCAGAAAAACATGTTTCCAACATCCCAGTTTATAATATATTATTAGACTGATTATTCACATCCTTTTTAAAGTGGGCATATCACACATTAACACTGCATTTATAGAAAACTTTGTGAAATGCAATAGTGTTCCTATAATATGAAAAACCGCCCTTCCCATGAAGATCCATTAAACTCTACACCCGTACAGTCTATGCTCTACACGTAACCTGCTGCATTTACCTGAGCATCGACATGAAAATGAACCGAGTGTTCAGAATTATATTTCCATTGACCTTCACTTAACTCTCTCTCTCTCTCTCTCTCTCTCTCTCTCTCTCTCTCTCTCTCTCTCTCTCTCTCTCTCTCTCTCTCTCTCTCTCTCTCTCTCTGTCTCTCTCTCTCTCTCTCTCTCTCTCTCTCTCTCTCTCTCTCTCTCTCAATCTATCTATCCTGTTTGCTCTGTTTAAAATCTAGTTTAGAAAGGATTTCTACAAAGACTGTAAATAGTTTTTAAATGGCAATAATTGTTATGAGATCGAGCCCAGACTGGCGAATAAACGTGAGCCCCCCCCCCCCCCCCCCCCCCCGACTATTTGGTCTTTGGTATGTCGTCATTATCGATCACGTGACTTCCTTGTGTGCGTTCTGCCGAAACATGCTCCTAAAACATGTTCCTCCCCCCGAGTCGCTTCAATCGCCTCCAAAACACTTTTGTTTAAAACAAAAACAGTTGAAGTAAGTCAGGAAAAGGTTTATTTTAACCTCCAGAACACAAATATCGCCATTAAAGTGTGGTTAGCTGGTGTCTGGTGGAAGCAGCAGCAGATTTCAACACTTCAAAAAAATAAAAAAATAAATAAAAAGATTTCAACACTTCCTGGTTCCTCCCTGAATTGGCGCGTGGGCCGTTATCAGGAAATGATCAGATTTCGTTATTATGTGACAGATGAAATAAAAACGGTTGGATTTCCCGCAGACTGACGTCCGCCATGGCGCTGCGCGTGCCTGCCTGCGTCCTCCTGCTGCTTTCTGTCACATCTGGAGAGGACGGAGGGAAGATTCTGGTTTGGCATTCTGACGCGAGTCACTGGATCAACATGAAGCCGCTGCTGGAGACGCTGGCGGACAGAGGACACCGGGTGACCGTCCTGGTCCCCAGCTCATCCATATTCGTGAACAGCAGCGAACCCTCCCGCCTTCACTATCAGCCTTTTCACGTCGCTGTCTCGAAGCGAGTCATAGAGAAGTTTGCAGAAGAGTTTGTTCACCTCTCTGTCTACGGGGCGAATAACCTGAGCTACATTCAAATATTCTACAAGTTAATGGAGTTAATCAAGACCAACACCGACAATAACATGAAGATCTTGGACGGTGTGGTGAAATCAGAAACTGTGATGAAGAAGCTGAAGGAGGGGGACTATGACTTGCTCCTGGCTGATCCCATCTACGCAGGAGGTGATTTAGTTGCTGACTTGCTGGGCATCCCTCTAGTCTTTTCTTTGCGGTTTTCCATAGCTCACAACTGGGAACGACGGTGTGGCCAGCTGCCTGCCCCACCTTCTTTTGTTCCAGGTGCTTTAAGCAAACTGACTGATAAGATGAGCTTCCTAGAGAGAGTGCTGAACTTTCTCTTCTACCCCCTGCATGACATGCTCTTACATCAGTGCATTTGGAAGGAGGTTGATAAACATTATTCCGAAGTAAGAGGTAAGAAACGGGCATATCCCAACTGAAATAGAAAAAATGGCTCAATGAGATTTTAAAAGGGACTGGTGTTGGTCTCCACACACCGCCTCTATAAAACTACATAAAACACATCCATTCGTTTTCTGTCAGTGTTTGTTTTAGGAATGATGTGCCTAAAACAACATAGTTCAAGAGGTCCCTCAGAGTGATGTCCTAATCTGTTAAATAAGCATAAATCTAACCCAACCACACACACACACACACACACACACACACACACACACACACACACACACACACACACACACACACACCTGTCGATGCTGGATGAGCAGCGGCTTTCCTCCGAGCATTTTCCGGATATCTGCGGTTTCATCAGCTCCCTCCAACAGGAAGGATCTGAAGTTGACCCAGAAAGTCACTAGATGACAACAAACTAATTTGCATATTAATGATGTCATGCCGCATTGGAGTTCTGCTAAAAAAAGATCACGTTGCAATTTTCTTGTATTTCAATATCCAATATGAAAATAAATATATTTCCAATTATTAAAGAGCAAGTCAATCCCAAATCAATTTATTTTTTGCTGATAAACTATATTAAGTATCTCGGGGTCGTGTTCACTGGAGCGTGAGATCGATAGGTGGATTGGTGCTGCATCTGCAGTGATGCGGGCGTTGTACCGGTCTGTTGTGGTGAAGAGAGAGCTGAGTCAGAAGGCGAAGCTCTCGATTTACCGGTGGATCTACGTTCCTACCCTCACCTATGGTCATGAGCTTTGGGTAGTGACGGAAAGAACGAGATCACGGATACAAGCGGCCGAAATGAGTTTTCTCTGCAGAGTGGCTGGGCTCTCCCTTAGAGATAGGGTGAGAAGCTCCGTCATCCGGGAGGGGCTCGGAGTAGACCCGCTGCTCCTCCACATCGAGAGGAGCCAGTTGAGGTGGCTCAGGCATCTGGTCAGGATGCCTCCCTGGTGAGGTTTTCCGGGGACGTCCAATTGGGAGGAGACCTAAAGGTAGACCCAGGACACGGTGGAGGGACTATGTCTCTCACCTGGCCAGCGAACACCTTGGGATTCCCCCGGAGGAGCTGGCCCAAGTGGTAGGGCTGTAGCGAAGCCTCGACGAAGTCGACGGCTCGATTCTAAAAATTTGTCGACGTCAGATCCGGAAGTCGACGCACCGCGCCCACTTGTTGCATCCCCAGGAGTTTGTAAATAGAGGAGGAATCTGCCTGTTTTTCCTCTAGTTCGCCCTCTTCTCCGCCTTCACTAACATCTCCGCCAAATACCGAAGACCCGGAACAACGTCCGTCCACAACTAGATTATTTTCCTGTTTTGCCCGCCTTCGTCTCCCGGCAACGGACAACAACTTCCGGGGTCAGATGCGCTGCTTCGTGTCTATCGCAGATGTAGAAAATCACCGGGAGCGCTTCTCCCTTCATTAAGGAGCTTCTTTCAGACATGAGGAGAGCTGTTTTGGTGGTAGCAGTCTCTCCACCGTGCTGGTCTGTTTGCTGCTGGGTGTTTTTGGTTTATTTAAACTTGGTAACTTGAACTTAACGTTGGTAAAGCTACTGTTAGCATCTTCGCTAACAGCTTCTTGCGTTGGGATAAGCTGTTACGTTTTGGTTTAGAGTTCATCTTTTTTGTGGTGTAGATCTCCCTTTTATTACATTTAGAGTGTTGTGGGTTTTCGGTTTAGTGTAAAATATCACCTGAGTTTGGTTTAACCCGTAAGACCACTCGCCTCACGCACATAAGTGACCAAAACAAAGCAGCATGGAGACACTCCATCTTCTACCACCTCTCAGGCAGCAGCCTGCGCTCCCAAGTTCTACACGTCACCAGAACATAACCAACCGCAACACAATAAAAGCAGTGTTATACAAAATGGAAGGCCTGTAGTGTTTATTCTCTTACAGTAAGAATTTATCAATTTTTTTTGAGGAATTTATTTGAGATTTTCTGGTTTTTGTTAATTGTGCAATAGAAAAATAATCATTAGATTAATTTTCTAAATAGTCATTAGAATAGTCGACTATTCGATAAAATAATCGTCAGAATAATCGTTTTAAAAATAATCGTTTACCCCAGCCCTACCAAGTGGCTGGGGAGAGGGAAGTCTGGGCCTCTCGCCTTAGGCTACTGCCCCGTGACCCGACTCCGGATAAGTGGATGAAAATGGATGGATGGATGGAAACTATATAAACGAGTTTCTAATCGTGTTGTAGACACGTGTAGTGGATAAGTTGGCGCTTTAGTGAATCTTGGTTAAAATTTAAATATTCTGTCTAAAACTGTCAGTGTTGCACCCTCTTCAGGTAAAAATTCTGCACTGCATTAGAATTTAAATCTGCCATCACTATTGGCTAAGAGGTACACTATGACGTTAGCTGGTACATTATGATGTCACTATGTCGTTGTGAGTCTGTGTATTTGTTAGCAGCTCTGCCCTCTCAGTCTGCCAGGCAACAGCATTTGTTGCATTTTTCTAACAGGAAGTGGGAGTGGAGAAAGACTGGTAGGGGGTGACTTGCTCTTTAATATGTCTCTCTGCATCTTAAATTTATTTTGCTTATAAAACAATTAGTTTAATATCTGGGTGACCAACCAAGAAAGGATTATGATTTGGTCGGTCGATGTAACACAATGGTTCTCAATCCAGGGGGGCGTTTCTCTAAACGAGCTCAGAACATCAGGGCTATCCTGATGAATCCCTGATTGACAAATCCGGCTGCATGCTTTCCTAGCAGCTCGAAGGTTGGGTCTGCAGGATGGTTTTTCTCTAATCTTCAGGGAATGTCAAAGTTCTACAGAAAGTACTCAAGCGTTGTCAGAAATGTCACTAAATCTGTCAGTAGATGTTTGGAATAAACGGGGAAAACAGAACCCGATCTTATCTTTGGCAGCGCGGCATCACGCCTCTGAAGATTGTCGCGCCATGGCTGGTTTGTTACACTCCATCGAATATAATGGAGTATATTTGCAGCGGTGCCGTTCGGCGCTGCTTTTGCTTCCAGTGTGCAGTAGGACTCAGTCTGGAAGGTAATGAAAATGTCGAGAATAAAACTGCTGAAATGTATTTATGTGACCGTGATTTTGTGCAAAGAGCTTCATAAATATGTTTTGCGTAGATCATGTTTCAACTTAGAAAGTCATATGTCCCCTTTAAGGTTAAATTACCAGCAGTTATGTTCCAAACATTTATTATATATTTTTCTGAAACAGGAACGCCGACCAGTGCCTGCGAGTTGATGGGTAAAGCGGACATCTGGTTGATGAGAAACTACTGGGATTTTGACTTTCCTCGTCCGTTTCTCCCCAACTTTAAATTTATTGGTGGGATCCACTGCAGACCTGCTAAACCTCTACCAACAGTGGGTTCTTCTTCTCAAACACATCATTACATACTGATTTAAACAAAAATACTGCCTAATTGTGCCGTTTACTTCTACGTGTTCCTCCCTCTGCAGGATATAGAAGAGTTTGTTCAAAGCTCTGGAGATGACGGCATCGTGGTCTTCTCTTTAGGGACCGTGGTCAAGAATCTGACCACAGACAAGGCAAACCTGATAGCCTCTGGACTCGCTCAAGTCCCACAAAAGGTCAGGGGTCAGGAACATCTCTGAAATTCTGACAAAAATGATGCAGACTTGATCAAAAGTGTTGTTATGGTTTGTAGGTGCTGTGGAAATACAGTGGGAACACTCCCGAAACTCTGGGGTCCAACACTAAACTCTACTCATGGATTCCACAGAATGACCTGCTGGGTGAGTAAATATAAACATCAGATTTAAAAACGGATGCAAAAAGAGACAAGCAAGCTGAAAATTATTTAATTTTTGCTTCTTAGTCAAACTTTTGCACTTGATACACTCACCTGCAGGATTATTAGGAACACCTGTTCAACTTCTCCTTAATGCAATTATCTAATCAACCAATCACAAGGCAGTTGCTTCAATGCATTTAGGGGCGTGGTCCTGGTCCAGACCATCTCCTGAACTCCAAACTGAAGGTCAGAACAGGAAAGAAAGGTGATTTAAGCTATTTTGAGCGTGGCATGGTTGTTGGTGCCAGACGGGCCGGTCTGAGTATTTCACAATCTACTCAGTTACTGGGATTTTCACCCACAACCATTTCTAGGGTTTACAAAGAATGGTGTGAAAAGGGAAAACATCCAGAATGCAGCAGTCCTGTGGGCTAAAATGCCTTGTTGATGCTAGAGGTCAGAGGAGAACGGGCCGACTGATTCAAGCTGATAGAAGACCCTAACCCTCGTTACAACCGAGGAACGCAGCAAAGCATTTGTGAAGCCACAACACGCACAACCTTGAGGCGGATGGGCTACAACAGCAGAAGAGCCCACCGGGTACCACTCATCTCCACTACAAACAGGAAAAAGAGGCTACAGCTTGCACCAGCTCACCAACACTGGACAGTTGAAGACTGGAAAAATGTTGCCTGGTCTGAGGAGTCTCGATTTCATTTGAGACATTCAAATGGTCGAGTCAGAATGTGGCGTAAACAGAATGAAAACATGGATCCATCGTACCTTGTTACCACTGTGCAGGCTGGTGGTGGTGGTGTCATGGTGTGGGGGATGTTTTCTTGACACACTTTAGGCCCCTTAGTGCCAACTGGGCACCTGAGCATTGTTTCTGACCATGCCCATCCCTTCATGACCACCATGTACCCGTCCTCTGATGGCTACTTCCAGCAGGATAATGCACCATGTCATAAAGCTCCAACCATTTCTAACTGGTTTCTTGAACGTAACGATGAGTTCACTGTACTACAACGGTCCCCACAGTCACCAGATCTCAACCCGATAGAGCATCTTTGGGATGTGGTGGACCGGGAGCTTCGTGCCCTGGATGTGCATCCCACACATCTCCCAACTGGAAGATGCTGTCCTATCAATATGGCCGACATTTCTAAAGATGCCTTCAGCACCTTGTTGGATCTACGCCACATAGAATTAAGGCCGTTCTGAAGGTGAAAGTGGGTCAAACACCGTATTAGTGTGGTGTTCCTAATAATCCTTTAGGTGAGTGTGTATTTATTCAAATAAAGGTCTTAAATAAAATACTTTATCTTCTTCTCTGAAGTTAATTACCGTAATTTCTGAACTATAGAGCGCACCTCAATATAAGCCGCACCGGGCTAAAAGCCGCTGATCTCTACTGAATTGAAAACGTAGTTTAACTAAACGTAACTGAACTGATCAGTATCAAACAAAACAGAAAAGTTATTGATTAGTTTATTCATCTTCCTCCTGCACTCTAAAGCCATTAAAGTCCTCTTCTTCAGCGTCGGAGCTGACCAGCCTCAGAAGAGCTTCGTCACATACCTTTTCTGTGGCCATGTCGGTGTCGCTGTCCGTGTTGCCGTCATCATCCCCGGGTGAAGCTGGCTTGAATGAGTTCTTCCCGCTGCCGTCTCCAGCGCCGAACCATGGATCCATTCATGCCAAGCTTATGTGCAGCAGCACTGTTTCCCTCCTTTACTGCCAGATCCATGGCCTTCAACTTAAATGCAGCATCATATGAACTCATACGTGTAGTTACCATGATGAGGGGGTATGGATTTGAAAAGATTCTTCGTGGTGCCGGCTGCTTGCATGTGCTAAATTAAAATGAGCACTTTCTTCCATTTCCACTTTTGACTTCCACCTGTTTCACTTCCTGCTAAAGCGCCCCCTGGTGGCAGGTGAAGGAAAACCTTCAGTAAAGCCACACCTCATTATAAGCCACGTGGTTCAAAGCGTGGGGAAAAAAGTAGCGGCTTGTAGTGCGGAAAATACAGTAAATTTTTTCTCCCGTCATCAGGTCACCCTAAAACTAGAGCTTTTATCACTCATGGAGGTGCAAACGGGGTTTATGAGGCCATCTATCACGGCGTTCCCATGGTGGGAATTCCAGTTTTTGCTGACCAGCCAGACAACATGGTGCACATGAAAGCCAAAGGAGCTGCAGTTGTTGTGGAATTAAACTCACTGACATCTGAAGACCTCAGAGATGCGATCAACACCGTCATCGATGACACAACGTAAGATTTTTTAAATTCCTGCACCAAGTCTGTTTTAAAGGTTTAAAAAAAATTGTTTAGTTTTTGTTGATGAGTCAGCATTAACTTTATTACCAGAATAAATATTTCCCTTCAATTTCCTGTTTTCGTGGCTAATTTTTACTGTATGGCCCGAAAGAGTGACCTAGCTTAAATGTACAAAACTACAAATGTGACTTTCATTATTCCCAGTTTGTGAGATAAAAATCTATCTCTGACAATACATTATGAATAACTCTTTACATTAACTTGTTTATCCACAGCTACAAAGAAAGTGCTATGAGACTGTCCAGAATCCACCACGACAGACCCATGAGTCCTCTGGACGAGGCGGTTTTCTGGATCGAGTTCACCATGAGACACAAAGGAGCAAAGCACCTGAGGGTCCAGGCCCACGAGCTCACCTGGTACCAGTATCACAGCCTGGATGTCCTGAGCTTCCTGCTCTCTGTGGTTCTGCTGCTCCTGCTCCTCCTCGTCAAGACCTGCAGGTTCTGTTTCCGGAGGTGCTGCTGCAGAAGGAAGACCAAGAGGAAGGCTGAATAACAAACTCGGCTCAGGTTTATTAAAGTTAAATATTGAATAGAAAGGCTGATTTAATATAGATTTTAATCTGTCTTTTGACCACTGACCTCTTGTGTAAAAGTAGGGAAGTAAGAAACTGTTTAAAAAAAGCAAAAAACAAAAGTGTTTTGATGTATTTTTTATCTTCTGTGTGATCAAAAAGGGTTTTGGGTTTTTATTAATACAACAAAAGGAAAAACATCAGTGTCCAATGTTTTCACTTCTGAATAAATGGTTTGTACTTCACAATTTTTTGTTAAATTCTGACCATTTAGTTTTTGCTCAAGTTTCAGTAACTTCTGTCAAAATGTTTAGAAAAAAAATCAAACAGCCGGGATTAAACCCGCAACCTTCTGATTACTGAACGACCCGCTCTTCCTCGGGAGCTCCTGCTGTCCAAATGGCTAGTTATAAATGACCTGCACTTGTAAAGGGTTTTCAAGTCGGTGTGTGGAGGGAATTTGGGGTCAAATGTCATGCTGCACCTGAGAAGTGATATTAGTGGATTTATTTATGGATTTATTAGTCATGTTTCTTAATGACTGTGGCTGCAGCAGGACAATGTTTCATTTAAAAGTTGTTGGGAGGGACCGGCGTCGCCTGCGTATGGCAGACTCGCCTCTGTCAGGACGCCCCAGGGCAGCTGTGGCTACAGTGTAGCTCATCACCACCAGGGTGTGAATGGGTGAATGTGTTGTAAAGTGCCTTGGGGGGTTCCAGGACTCTAGAAGGCGCTATACCAAATACAGACTATTTACCATAAATGAACAATAAAGTTTTATCTCAGCTTATTGATTATTATGTAACGGACATCTCACAACCACAAATTACTGTTTCACCAAAATAAATACCAACAAATCTAATATTTTATTTCTATATTTAAAAAAAAAGAAAACTGCAGAAAGTCCTAAAAAGAGAGTTAAAGTTAAACGTGATGTTTGGGAATCATTGCAGAATTCAAACAGTAAGAAACACTGCTATCCAGAAATAAGCCTGAAAAAGTTCAACACATTTAGTTCATTTGATTTTATTTCCCATAAACCTGCAGGGATAAAAACACAAATAAGTGAAAGAAAATCAAAAGGATATGCACTCTGAGTTCAAACATTTCAGTGATTACATTTGAGCTTTTAAACAGCTTTAATGTTTTGTACTTTAGTACAGAGAGAAACGAGTCAGAGTTCACAGAGTTAATAAGTATCCGTACGGCACATCCAGTATAAAGTTCACAGCTGGAGTTCCCACAGACAGACGTCCACCATGGAGCTGCGCGTCTGCCTGCATCCTGCTGCTATTTTCTGTAACATCTGGAGTAGATGGAGGGAAGATTTTGGTTTGGTACACCGAGGTCAGCCACTGGATTAACATGAAGCTGCTGCTGGAGACGCTGGTGGACAGAGGACACCAGGTGACTGTGCTGGTCCCCAGCTCATCCATGTTCATGAACAGCAGCGAACCCTCCCGCTTTAATTACCAACCTTTTGATGTCTCCGTCTCTAAAGAAGATTTTGAGAATTTATTGGCAGAATTCATTCAATTCAACATGTATGACATGGACCACATGAACTACTTTCAGCTTTACATCAAATACATGGAATTGTTCAAGATCAACACTGAGATTTCCCTCCAGTTTTTGGACGTGTGGTGAAATCAGAGCCCATCATGAAGAAGCTGAGGAAGGGAAACTATGACGTTCTCCTGGCTGATCCCATCTATTCTGGAAGCGATGTAACTGCTGAAATCTTGGGCATCCCTCTAGTCTTTTCTTTGAGATTTTCGATAGCAAACAACTGGGAGAGACTGTGTGGTCAGCTACCTGCTCCACCTTCCTACGTTCCAGGTGTGGTCAGCAGACTCACAGACAAGATTAACTTCTCAGAGAGAACGTGGAACCTCCTCTTCTACGTCCTGCAGGACTTAGTTCTGGATCAGTGTATGTGGAAGAAGGTGAGTATTACTGACTAGAAAATTACTTAATGGATTTCATCCAGTCATCATGAACATGTTTGTTTTCTTAGGAACACCCACCAGTGCCTGTAAGATGATGGGTAATGCTGACATCTGGTTGTTGAGAACCTACTGGGATTTTGACTTTCCCCGTCCATTACTTCCCAACTTCAAATTTGTTGGAGGGATTCACTGCAAACCTGCTAAACCATTACCAAAGGTGCTTTTTCCATAATTGTACACCAAATAAATCATAGTTAACCCTCTCAGGCTCAAAGCAAGTTTTGATAAAAGGGCAAACAACTAAATCCTTCTTCTGAGTGTTAAAATGCTCATGAAATACATACATGGAGTAACCAGGTAGGTAGGTTTTAGCGTTGCACATCTGCAACGCCTGCTTCCAGAGGGTTAAATCCTAATGTAAAGAATAAGATCTGAAATAAAAAATATCTACAAAATAGGCATCTTATTAGCTGTTTTATTGAATAAAAAAGCAGATTTTGATTAAAAAAATACAATTTTTCTGCTTTAAAGAATTAAAAATCTGTTCCTGCAGTATTTCAAAAAGTTTGTCCAAAGCTCTGGAGATGACGGCATCGTGGTCTTTTCTTTGGGATCTATTGTCAAGAATCTGACCACAGACAAGGCAAACATGATCGCCTCTGCCCTCGCTCAAGTCCCACAAAAGGTCAGAAACGGGGGAATCTACAGGGGGGCTCTGCTGTAGAGCCTTGCCCCCATAGCTGCCCCCCATATCTACGTCCTTTAAATACTCTTGCGCCTAATGTTTATTTTGAATTCATTTATTTCTGTCTTTATTCTGTATAACATCTATGCCTTAAAATCGTTTTCCTATAAGAAATGCTAAAAAACAAACACGTTTTAAGGTCTTGTTCATGGAAAAACCGTGTTATCCTTGTTTAAAAAATACAATTGGCAGTTCTCAGTTGCATACACTTGCTGAATTTCCATTTCCATTTCAATGTTTTCCATCGCATGCATCAGCCGCAGAAAGGAAGCGAAAGGGAAAACGATTGAGTCAGAAAAAGCTGGTCTCTTTTACGTCACAGAGAAAATTTGCATTCATTGGACCGCTCACCTTGGCTTGCAACCGCAGAAGGTTGTATCGAGTTTACAGCCTGGAGAGAGCAGAGCACATCATGACAAGTAGAAACTAACCATTAGCAATAGCAAATCAACAACATGGCACAACACATTCAGGCTTTTATTTGCAGAGATGACACATCAAAGTTGGATTTTTTACCAAAGGAGGAAGAGCAAACAAGGCAGCGTAAAGCCTAATTTATACTTCTCCATCAGCACCGTGATGGAGACACGCACGCATGGAGGGAGACATTTTGCCCTCATACTTCGTCTCCTGGGGAGTGTCGCAAAGCAATTCCCCTCCAGGACAACAGAGGGTGCAGTGCTGCTCTGTGGTAGCCTGGCCTGCCAGACTCGTCCTCTGTTTAATTCTGCACAGAGAAAGAGTCTGGTAACTCACAGGCAGAGAGGCACTTGAGGGGCGGGACTAGGCAGCTCAAAAATGACCAATCAGAAAAAAGACGGAAATCCTGACTGTGCCGCACAATGAGGTAGATTTCTAGTTGTAGTAAAAAAATTGCATCTGGCAACGGCGCAAACATCTTTTATTTTTTTTAGAAGAAAGTCTTTTAGCGCTTCTACTTGTGGTTTTAAAGACACCTGAGTCATTTAGAGCAGAGGAACGAGTCGCAACGAACTCCGCCGCTGTCTTAGTTGTTTATGAGAAACTGAGCATTGCTGTGTGTGACGTCCACGACGCTGTAGTTCTTTAGCTGTAGTAAAAATGGCGTCTGACGACGGTGCAAACATCTTTGTTTAGAAAAAAGGCTTTTAGTGCTTCTACTTGTGGTTTTAAAGACGTGTTCAAGTCATTTAGAGCAGAGGAAAGAGCCGCAGCGAACTCCACTTCAGTCGCCATGTTTATGACAAACTCAGCGTTGTGGTGTGTGACGTATGATACTCAGTGCTGATTGGCTCGGTTAGAATTCTCAGGGGGCGTGGTTATCTGAATAGGAGAGTTCCCAGACACTTTCTCTGTGCAGAATTAAACAGAGGAGAGTTTGGCAGGCCAGGCTAGCTCTGTGGCATCCTGTCATGTGTCCGGTCCAAGGTTGTGTGTGTGTGTTTTTTGTTTTGTTTTTAAGAGACTTTTTAACACGGACAAATTTGTCCCTCATCCTCGTCCACCTCTTCGTGCGCTCGCCACCTCTAAACCTACA